GCTAACAGCCGTAGGCATAGACACAATACCTGTCTAGGATGAAGAGGGCCAATTCAGGATTGGTTTTGAATCCTTTCAAATCCCACAATCTGTTGAATGACCAATCAAGGTTGACTTTTGTTTTTGCCTGTGCTCAATCACTGTCACTTTTAACTTTTTTTTGGTCAAATTGTTTCTTTTTCTTTTTGCTGATCCCGCCCCAGTATCCACCATAACTACAAAATATGACATCAAAAATAAAGAGAAAAAAGAAGAGAAAGAAAACTTTTTAAAAATCTCCTCTTGCTTCCTTCTATCGAGTACTCACTGCAAAACTCTGCCTGGGAAAATGTGAACATAGGCACTGTCTGTGTGCCGTACATCGTTCATCTGATGTGGACCCAGTGACAGGCATTAAGAATAACTGTATAGAAATAGCCAATGTTCTTTCTGATGGTCTTGTTTGCTTAATATGTCATATAACTGGTTAAAAACTACTTAGTAGTAACTTTTTGGAACATCATTTCATAACAAGATTATTTGATCAGAAGAGCAGGATTTTAAATAGACCTGTGTACTTGTAAGAGGATGCCTTCCTACTAGCAGGGACCAGGAGCATGCCTGGGGTTCATTTAAAATCCAGGTCATTCTCACATGTGAACTACTAAAATTTGTATAACATATGAAAAGTGGGAGGGAGGGAGGGAGGGAGGAAGAGATGACAAAAGACAAAACACCTCAGAGAGAGATGACACCTGATCTGACACAGAGAGAGAGCACATACACATGCAAGAGAAACGGGATGACAAGATTACAAAGCAAATCATTACACTCTTACTGTGACAATGACAGGATGCGCTGCAGTAATATGCTTCAAAAGGAGCTTTGGGTGATTTAACAGATGTAAATGGGGAAACCCAGAAGAAAGAGGCTTTATTATTTATGCAGAAGAAGATAATTATTACATTAAAGCTGCACTAATCAAAATCTTTATATTAACAATAGATCAAATGACTGTGTAAAATGCAGTGTTTGTAGTGATAAATGCACAGAGAATAATCTCCAATTCGGCAGTTCCCCTTTAGCTCTGCAGAGGGTTTCGGCATCACTCGGCTCATTGTTTTGGATTTGCAGCAATTGCAACTTCTATGTTTTGGATCCCCCTCAAAGCTCTCTTCAGTGTATTTTATAACTACAGCATTTTTGGTAACACGCATTACCTGTCTCAAACATACCAAAATTCCTCTCATAATGCCCTAAAACACTTCTTATACTGCAATTAGTAGAACTAACTAAATGAACTAACAATTACTAACTAACTTACACTTGCCTAAAACAACTGATCAAAGTTACTATAACTACAAAACACATTTTTGGAAATCCACTTGGTCACTTTCTTGCAGGGAGATTGATAGAGATCAATACCATTCTCATATCTCTCAGTCGAATATGAACACCCTCTGTCTGAGGTTAAGAGAAGGTAGTCATTTTTTACACTTAAACAAGCAAGATAATGTGTTGATAACTGAGGTCTGATGTGTCTACAGGCAGATTTTTGGACAAAGCGAGGCTTAAATTTAAATAAATAAAAAGGACCAGTGTTTAGGATTTAGTGGCATCCAGTGGTGAAGTTGCAGATTGCAACCATCTGAATACAGCTCAGCCATCCAAGGGTGTAGGAGATACTACGCTGGCCCCAAAGTCATGTCTGGTCACGGGCAGGCTGGTCCAGTATCATCTCTCAGAAGAAAGTTTTGGCACAGATGGTGTCTGGCTGTGCAGGCGGCAATCATGATTGTAATTTCAACTTAATGGCTCCTCGTTTTCATCAAGTCTTATAAAACGTTTGTTGATGGGTATTTTTGCATCACTGTTTTTGTCACCAAAATGAGCACTGTCACACACCGTTGCCCCCGTACAAAATCAGCCTCCTACCCATACTGACACACACACACACACTCGTGCACAGTTGCTCACTGTGGCTTCCTATAGTCTGTTCAGCACTAATTACTGTTCTATAAAATGTACAAACGCAGCAGTCTGTGGCAGCTCCTTTCTCTAGGGACTTGAGTTTCTTTTAACTTCCAGCTCATAACAGTTCAGTAAAGGTATAGGCTGGAGTATCAATCATCGCTCTCAAAGTGTTTCTTATACGTGAAACCAAACGTTAACATGGCTGCCTCAAGACTACAGCAGGTCCTTCTGATTATAATGTAGGAAGCGTCCGTGCCTGTCCAAGTCTCCTATTGCAACACTCTGAGCACTGATTGTTGCAAATTATACTCCATCAAACCACACATAAATATACAAGTTATATAAGTTGCAAGGAGGTAGCTACCATTGAGGACACCAAGGTCCTGTTACATTTCAGACAATTTGTAGGGTTTAATGACTGGATAATTGGAAATGGATTAATTTGTGATTCATGTTTTTGGTATATGCAGTGACCAACAAGAAAGGTTCCCTGGAAATTCTGGATTTTTTTAAAAGTAAAAATGAAGATAACACATGACCATGTTTGGAAAATATTAAATAAATCCCTGCTTTTAGCAAAACATTCCACAATCAGTGAATTTAAGGCATTGGCAGGTTTTAGAAAATGTTGAATCTCTTGTGCTAACACAAACCAGACTTCACTATACTTACGCCTAGGAAGGAATTTAAAGCTTTTGTTGGTTTGTGGTTGCACTGAAAGATGGATGGGTTCCCTGCAAGGCTTACACAACAAGCTAACTCCATACTGTACGAATTAGCTCTGATCTGAAGAAATACACTTAAACGCTGAATTAGGCTTTTACACCTGTTGTCATGAAGACAGATGTTCTGCTTTCCTCCCCACACACACAGATTAAATTGTTTCCCCTGGCAAACTGGCAACAAGGTGGTAAGTGGGCTGAAAATACTTCACACCTTGAGTTTTTCTAATAAAACTGTTATATTACATATTTTTCTCTCTTTCTACTTTAATTGTATAAATCTATTTCTCCCATCTTTCTTCTTCACTTTCATTTTCTCATCCCCCCCATTAGTCAGAAGACAAACCTCAAGTCCCTGGAGCAAGAACCTCCCACGGACATTAATAACATAACAACAAGCAGCAGCGACAACAGATGGCCAACTCATCTCATTGTTGCCGTGTTCATTTAATGGGCCCACAGAACATGTCTGTAAATCATTTAGGGTCTTGGGATTAAAACCAAGAAACAATATATACTACAACAACATAATACATCCTGTAATACTTGGTTGGGGATTTGTTCAAGAAATCCTTGAGCTCCAGTTTTGTGTTTTGTCATCATAAATGAGTAACAAAAATTTTTTTTGGTCTTATTTCTAGGAGACTAATGCTACATTGCCCTTATCACTTTATACCAAGGACTTGTGATAAGTGGTAACATTTGGTGCCTTCTCCTCTGCACAGCCACAAAGTATTCACCTTTTCTGGTTATTTTCTTCCAAGGATTTTGTGTGTGACGCAGATGCATGAGGCATAATGTAAACTGTATTATCTCTTCTGTTGGTCCCCTGTGACACAACCAGCACATGCGGATAATACACTTTCATTATCTGCACTCATCCTGACATTCAGTGGTGCTCCCACACACTGATGGATACACTCTCAGTCCATTCCCACAAAAACTTGCACACTATAAATGTCAGGTTGTGCATCTTAATTGCCCTTTAATGCCTACAAACAGTATTGCTGCTATGAAAAACACAGACACACTACATTTGGATTGCTAATGTTGATTTTCAGTTATCAGCTGACTAGACGGTAGCAGTAATGTTCAACATACTGTCACTTTTACTATATTTTTATATTTAGTTACATCACTTTAGTAGACTAACTGGTCAGTAGACTTTTACTGACATATGACAGCCACATGAAAGTGAGTATCTACTGTACATGTACAAGCCATTTCCCAATCTTTTCCAAGATGTTTCTTGAAAAATGTAATTTGAAAAAAACAGAAAGAGTGTCTGTCTGTCTGTCTCTCTCTCTCTCACCCCAACTGGTTGAGACAGACGACCACCCATCTAGAGCCGAAGGATCTGTCCTAGGTTTCTGCCTTTTAACAGGCAGTTTTTCCTTGCCCTTGTCGCCAAGTGCTTGCTCATGGTGGTACTGTTGGGTCTCTGTAAATAATGTTATAAGGAGTTCGGTCTAGACCTGCTCTATTTGAAAAGTGTCCTGAGATAACTTCTGTTATGAATTGGCGCTATACAAATAAAATTGAATTGAATTGAATTGTTCAATTGGTAAACTTGCATTTATGTATTTCAGATAAATTGCTGAATAACCGGACAGTCTTTCAGTCAGTGAATACTGTTCACATTAATTAATTAAATTAATTAAGAAATTACAGATCTGTAACATAGTGTTACATTAGACCACAAAGTACCAAAACACAAGTTATTGCTGCTCATTGAACAGTCCACCAGCTATCCTCACGTGTTTGGCTAAGCTGAAATTTGCTTCTCACGCATAGTAATATAGTGTAGTGGAGTTATCTTATTCATCCAGGTAATGTAATGCCAAGTCAGAATGAAATTACCCACTTCTGTGAAACTGAAGCTTTTTGTTAGGTTCAACTTCACACAAAAAAGTAGATTTTATGTTGTCTTGGCATGAGAGAGAATGTTTTTGCCAGAAACCTGTAGCCAACTCCACTTGGAAAGGACAACATGGTGCCAGTAGTGAAACGACTGGCTGCGAGTGTTGTATCTCATTCACAGGGATTCATAAGTCTTAGCAGCTCCTGATCAGTCTGTACTGACAACAAATGTGACAAATCTGACTGTCGGTGATAATCAGCGCTGCATAATGTGCTGCACTGCTCGTGGCTTTGTTGTCACTGTCTGAATAACATCGAGACAGGGCTGTTAGCCGTCAGCACTGATAATGTAATACATATTTCTTGAGACCACACACCCTGCTCACATACTCTCATTTTTTCTAAACACACACACACTTTCCCCTGGCCCAGGTGTTAATCAGGAAGGCACACAGTGCACAGAAGAAGATTCAAAAACACTTTATTGTGTTACAAGCAGTAAAATGTGAAACACAAAGATAAAATATGTATGTTCATAAGGCCATTAAATTCTTATAATATTCAACTTATTCTTAAACAGAATGAACAAGTGATAGGATTTAAAATCACGTTTGAAATCAGCTACAAAGAAAAGACAACTGCAATCTGAAGCCAACGTCAAAGCCCTTGTGGCCTCTCAGTGACTGCAGCCAGAGCAGAGGGAACTATGTCGATTTTGTCTCAGTTTCTTCCGTTGTTCTGTTTCAGGGCTCTGGAGCAGTGTGAGTATATCAGAATAAACACAAACTAAAAAAAAACCAAACATGATACATCTGAAAAAATGATATGTCGCTTTATGAACGCCTTAGTGAAAGAAACGATAAAATTAAATAAAGGATTACTTTCATTAAAACAGGCTCAATGTAACAATTTAAAACTAATCTTTTAGGCTTAAAAGGCAAACACTCCTATAAATGGAAGTGTGACAACATCCAGCTTAAAAAAAGGTAGATGCCTCTTTTACTGAGGGAAAAAAATCATAAATAAAAAGAAGACTTTTTTTCCACTTATTCTTCAAGACCATCTTTACTTCTTTGATGTCTTCTCCAACACCCAGGCAATCACCTACAATAACAAAAAATAATCTTTAGCAGGTTCAGGTTTGGGAGAACTAAACTAAGTGGAGAATCACTGGTGTTTGCTGGCGTTACCTGTTTGACATTGCTGCCGGCTGCCTTCTTCATCTCGTCATGGAGACCCCGAGATGTCTTCAGATCCTGGGATCACGCAAACAGAAGAGGAGGATCACTCACACTGACACTATATAAAAAGGTATACTCACGTGGGCTTTACATCATAAAACCAAACAGCTGAACACATTGTCACATTGAAGAGAGGATTTAGGTAGAACAGAGTAAGATGGTGTAGTCAAGCAGCAGATTAAGCATTACCAGAAAACAGTGGTGGAAAGCAACCAAGAACATTAATCAAGTACTGCACGCAAGTATAAGTTTGAGATACTTTATTTACTTTATTCTGCTACTTGATCCTTCTTCACTATGGAAGAATAAAAAAAACTGCTCTGTTTTCCTGAATCAACGACTTCTCATAATCCTATAACCGTCTCTAGCATGTTCCAGTGGACCCATAGGACTCTCAACCCTCTAACCCTGACCCAATGGCCCTAACACTGGGTCTCCAGCCATGACACAGGCTCTAGCGAGCTGCAGCGGGCCCATGAATGGAGAACCAGAGGCAGGTAGGGAGGGAGGTCGGGGTGGTTCGTGCCCATGGCCGACTCCATGTTCTAGGCTGTCCAGCTGGAGGCCGGTTCTAGGATTTGGGTTAGGGTCAGGGAAGCTGAAAGGTGTCCCCGGGCATGGAGAGCGGAGAGGCATCTCGTTAATTCAGAAAAACAGAGCCAAATTGGTTTTATTATATTGTTTTTCAGAGTACTTTTACATTGTTGTACTGCTACTTTTACTTAACTAAAGGACGTGAGTACTTCTTTCACCGCTGCTGGCAAGTTAGGCCGTTTTTCCTCAATGTTTATATTTCATCAAACAAAAACACCTGATTACAATTTACAAGGCGAGATATTGGCAAAAACTGCATAACAGACAAATGGTCTTTTCAAATTGTTCCTATTATTGTGCTAATTTGTTGCAACTATTAACAAAACACAACATATGGTCAAAAATTGCAGTACAAGGCCTGGATGCATAGAAGCATAGAAAATAAATAAAGAGAGGACAGTGCTGACTGTGTGCGGGCAGAGAAAAAGACTAACCTTGAGATAGAATTTTGAGATATCAAACAGCCTTTTGCTGCAGGCCTCAGAGCACTCATGCTCGGCAGTGATCCCGTGCTGTTTGAGTGTTTTAGCTACTACATCCAGCAGCATCTGAGGACACAAAAGACACACAAACAATTCCATGTTAGCACAATTGTGAAAACCTTAAATATAGTTTTGTTTACTCCCCAAGCACCTGACACTAACGTGGTTCAGAGAGACTAATTTTAGCACGGCTCTCTTTTTAAAAAGGAAGGGATGTCAAAGTGTCTTGACTTTGGGGGACGTCCTCGCACAGAACAGCACGCCTCTACGTTTGCAGTGTGAACTTGCAATGTACAAACATACAAATATTTTACTGGTAGCGTCGACGGGGACAAGACATTCCTGAAATAAATAGATCTGCCTTTAATCTTGTCACAGCAACTGTGCTGAAGAAACACCATAAATTATTTTGAGGAATCATCTGTGCCACTCAGTCTCATGAGGAGTAGAAAGGCAGCTTTTAATCTCTGTCCCGAATAAACTGCTATCATTATTTCTGAATAGGACCAACTGTTCTTTCTTATACTTGGGTTTGGATGATAAGCCTGTTTGCATAGTAATCACAAATCAGAACAAGTCAAGGTCGGCATGCAGATTGTGAGCTGTACGTGGGACAGAGGGAAACGGCGTGTAGGTGTGGGAGTAGGTGTGTGTGCATGTATCCACGTATGTTTCTGTCATTGTGCACACTGTACCAATACGCCAAGGAGAGAGCGAATAGTGTGCGTGTGTGTCTGTAGAGGCAGGCAGCGGGCGATCTGATAATGGTATATAGTTGTTAAAGTGATTCTGCCATGACATTGTCATGCAGCCCACACGTTCACAGCGATCACATGCAAAACGTAAAAACATTTATCTCTGCTGGAACTGTCGCACAACTCTCATCTGTAATAGAAAGACTGCAAATGTGTTTTGTTGTGTGTCTGTCTGCCACTGTTAAAGTCATTGCTAAACAGGTGAATATTACAGGAACTGGCACCGGCCATTCTCCTCTACGGGTTTTGATAACATTTCACTCACCAAAGTAGCTGAGATCTTGTTTAGCCGTCGCAAAATCACTAAAAATGTGCTTAAAGTATGTCATAATGAGTGTGCCAGTACAACAGTTTTACTATATTACTGTGGTGAAATAATTTAAACTACTGCCATTATAGTTGTTTTCAGATGGCACTGGGAACACAACACAATGCTCTTGCCTTCATTAGCAGTTTTATTTTGTTAGTCACAAGGGTTTGCCTTTTTACCCATCAAACAGGGGCAGAGTGACCACAGCAGGCCAGCAAACCAGGCTCCTTATCCGTTTAGCTCTAGATACTGAGGCAATGCTAACATTAGTTTGGTGACCTACTGGAGCACTGATGGGTTCAGAAACGGAACAATCAGCAAGGACTCAGCCCTCACATGTTGGGCGCAAGCTCCACAGAAATGTAACGTGAAGTGGGTGGGCGCATGCATTTTACATGAATAACAAAGAGGAAACCTGCTGCGTCAAGAACATGCACTTTATGTTCTTTCTCTGGTTGTTTATGCTGTGTAAGTGTATCTAATGTGGAGTCCAACAGATTTGCAGTATATCACTCAATTTACAGTTTATTAGGTATGAAATCCAAGGCAAACTGTGTGAGTTTCTTTCACTATATTCCAGCTCTAATTGTGGTTTTTGAGGAAAGATGATGATGATGATGATAATATATTTACAATGATGAAAAAGCATGGCAATGACCTATTACCATTCCTAATCATAACAGACAGAAGGGCCAGAGCTATTAAAATAAAACCAAAGTTGTAATAAGCCATAGTTTTCCTATGATTCCTACTGATACTGTGTGTTCTTCATTCTTCTTGTGAACTTGTGTGAAACGAGCTTGACCTTGACAGATGAGCACTTGCCTCCAACGTTTATTTTTTATTATTTAGTTAGAGCGGAGCAGAAGTAAACAAGCGCTGTGCTTACAAACACCTTGCTGAGATGAGAGAAAATGCTGTTTTAAGGTCCGAAGAGGCAGCCGGTAGGATGCTGAACTTTAAAATAATTTGAGAGACTGTTTCCTTGGCAAAGATCACTGCTGCCACCAGTTTGGGTTAGCACTAGCTTTATGCCACGCGGCAAATTTAAGTGTTTAGTGTGGGGAATGGTGATAGAAAGTGATTGCTTATACTTTTGGTCACAAACATGGTGAAATAATAAATGATAAAACTATGAATGGTAGTTAATTGCGTAAGCTTTTACCTACACTGTTATGAGGGTTGTTTAAAAGGACTACATAATTCAACATCAATTTAAATAAATAAATGCTTCATGTTAAAATACAACAACATACAAACATTACCTGATGTTTAGCCGAGAGTTATGATACCAGTGATAGCTTTATTTATAATTAATTCACAAATGTGTATATTTTTCTGTTGCTTATTTGCAATAATTTTGAATAGCATTTATGCATATATATTTTTATTTTTCTGTTTTCTTTTTCTATTCAAAAGGTTTTTCACCATGATTAAATAAACTAATGGAACTATTTAACTGAACTATCAAAATAAAAGGAGAAAAAAGCTGTTTGGTCCTTGAGTGGAATCCATTTAAAAACTTTTGGGTAGGTGCATCAATCTCTTTCAAGAGGGGAAGCTGCACGTATTCTTGAAGCATAACTTGACGATAACAATTACATAAGGTTTTCATCCCTTCCAAAATAAGACACACACACACACACACACACACACACAGACACACACAGACACACACAGACACACACAGACACACACAAATACTCACCCTGTTGTGTTTCTGTGAGCGTGACTCTTTGGCTGTTTTGTCCTCTGTTTGTTCATGATGTGTCTTCTGCTGTTGAGGTTTAGGTTTGTCAGCAGAGGGAAGAGTCACCAAACCTGGGTAGTAATATGGAGAAAGGAACAATAAGACATTGCCACCATGGCAGAACAAATCCTTAGCATGTCCGAATAGAATGAGAATTAAAAGAAGTTTAAAAAAAACAAAAACATGGTCTTTTACTTAGGCTCTCCTGTAAATAGTCACTAGAGCCAGAATTCATTTATTTGTTACATTTCAAATGGTATTGAAGGGCGGTAAAATTGTGACATTTTCCAAAAGAGATACTGAAAATATACGGAAATAAGGAGAACATAATTTGCAAATCCTTTCTAATATGAGATGATCTGTAAGTGATAACTGGATAGCATAATTGGTAGCTTTTTGATGCTATAATCTCATTTCAGAAGAATACATTTATTTAATATTAAAATAGAAAGTATACTATAAAAATACAGTTTATTATTATATTTGATGATTTTAATTGGTTATGGATATAAATGTTGAGGAAAAGTTTGCGGATCAATTGTGTTCGTAGCGTCTCGTCAGGCCTTCTTGTTCTCACTACATACACAAAGGTTAAGTCATGAATTCATGGACACAGAAAGACTGGTCCTGTGCCCTTGTTGTCAAATTGAGTTCTTCTATTTAGTCTATCTTACTTACTTAGTGTATACTCGCCTGAAAATAAGAATTGAAAGGACAAACCAAACACTGGTGCTAGTTAGTTGGTTGGTTACAATCGGCAACTTCAGTGCTAGATGCCACTAAATCCTACACAATGGTCCTTTAAGGAAAAGGATTTTAAAAATTTTTTTATTTCATTCTGCACAATTCCACATCAACACTACTTTATGTCTATACGACTGTTGGTTATGCATATTTGCTGCTCTGTGTGTAATTTGATTTAGTTTTACTAGTAGCACACCTATGATGAGTTTGGCCCCAAACAATTAATCTGATAAATGTACTAAACTTTCTAAGAAATGGTGTGCACATTTGCCTGTTCTAGCACCTGTGCGCTTAACTAGAACAAACTGAGAGTGACGTTTCTATCAGGATCACCAGTCCCCATTTAAGAGTGTTTTTATTGTACCTGAGGATGTCCGTCTTGCTGCTGAAGAAGAAGCAGGACTATTGGACGAGGAGGTGGATTGGGATCTGCTCGGCTGTTGTCGTAGAGACCTAATGGCAGGGTGTGTCCCACTGCTGCCACTGCTCTGAGAACAGAGGGAGTCACTGCTCTCTGACTTCACCAGCCTGGATGATTCAGACAAACACACAAACATGATAAACATTACTAACACTTAACCACTTGACCTTCCACATACCCCACCTACAACCCCAACATCCACCCATCAATGTATCCATCCATTCATATACTTTCTTGTTGCTGACCGGGAGCAACGCACACCATCATCATACCTCTTGCGAGGATGACCTCCAATGACGTCTGTGTCCCACGGCCTGCGCTTGAGCCTTGCTACATCAGCGTTCTGCAGAGTCTCCCCGTCAGGCACACTTCCTGATTCTGACATTACTGCAGGAGAGGGGGCGGGGCTGAGGGCGAAGGGGAGAGCACAGGGCTCCTTCGAGCAGGTGGTTTGGGTCTCGTAGCGAATCAGACGGGACTGGAGTTTTACAAAGGCCTGGTCCCGGTCCAAAGACCGTAAATTGTCCAGGCAGAACCTTGATGAACAAATAAAACAGATTAAAAATTAAAAACTGTAATAAAAATAAATAAAGAATGAATTAACTGATGTGTCTGGTTACTGCCAGAGCTTTTACTGAGCATAATACATTTTCAACAGCTGCCTGCACTGTATTATAGCAGCTACTGTAGCTGAATAGATGCTGTATACTTTATAGAAACTTACTCTATGCCATGGTAATGTGAGGCTGATGCTTTGTTGAAGGGCATCTGGCTGACTCTCCTGGGAGAGAGGTCTGGTGACAACTGAAACACATTATTACTGAATAGAAAGAGAACGAGACGAACGAGAGAGGAGGGGTGGGGGAAAGAGAGTGACAAAGAGAGGGAGGAGAAACAAGTAAACAGTTTGTCAAAGAAAATATATCTGTCTCTTCATTAAACCACAAACACAAATTTCACTAATTAAAACACACACACAGTTTGGCCTGACAGAATTATTAGAGCTAACTGATGACTGCTCTGCTCCAGAATAACATTTAGTTCAATCCAACTCCATATTTTTTTCTAGAAAGGTTGTAAGCTCTCTGTAGCAGGCTAATGATCATAATCAAATCCACATTATGGCCTCATTAACTGTCCTTCAGAATAATCCTACACCAACACAGATACCGTTGACATACGTGTATGTGTATGCCCTGTGTGAAGGCCTAGTTACAGTATATGCACACATAAGGTTCAGTAAGTGCTCACTTTGGCCAACAAGTGATATCTAAAGTTTCATATTAAAGTAAGACTCAGCATGGAGCGAGAAAACATGACTGAACCTACCCTCTATTGATAGCCAGTGGTTGTAGCTCCCCAACAGGCAGGCCATCAGATGTGAAGTATTTTAGAAGTTCTTTGGCATCCAATAAAGCAGTGGAGCCTTTTTGACTGTCTTTAGGACCCAGGAGACTGTCACTGGAGCCTGCACCTAACAGACCAAATCTAAAGACACACATAATTACATTAATCAAGTACAGTATATTAAGAACTCAAAGTTTTCATGTGTCTATTTAAATCTCATTTACCTCCTCTTCTGTCGCCTCCTCTGCAGGTTCTCTAAGTTGTGGAGGACGCTCCTCTCGGGCCAGTCAGATTGCAGGTTGGAAACGGTCTGAAAACCTACAACAACAACAACAAGGCTTAGCTGGTCAGAGTTGTCGTTCCCTCTGATTAAAGGAAAGCTTTGTCAGGAGTCATCCGCAAGGTGGCATTATATTACAGAACAGTGGAGAAACTGCCCGGTACGTGGCGTAGGTATAGGCACAATATACCGTATGATGGATTGCAAGAGTTATCACTACATTCACTTGAGCCATGTCAACACACTGAACTCTTGGCAGACAAAACATCCCCACTGGACAGAAAGATTGTATGTTAGATCAAGAAGGACAAAAATGTGACTAAGCTATATACAGCAGGTTCCCCAATGATATGAGGGTGTTTCATGCACAGCAATGGCCTGAGGTTGTTAAGTGTGTTATACGAAGAGACCGCCAGCGGTTTGACAGCCCACACAGAGTCATTTACACCTTCAGGCGATGCAAATACAAAAATGCAAAAGACATTCCTAATGGACTGCAGGAGTAGTTTATTGCTGTAAACGACATTCCATATTCCAGAGCAGAGAGTGGGCAAGGGCAACGGGAAAAAATAACTTGATTAGCACTTTAGAATGTATGTTTTTACATGTTTACACCGATCATCACCTCTGCTTTTGAAGCTTACTGGCTCAGTTCTTCTGTAATTCAAGCATATGCTTTATGTGAGGTCCTGGAGAGCTAAACACATGTAAATGGTGTAGAACATGAAATCGGGAGGATACACACAAAGGCATTATGTCATTATGGTTTTAGATTAGTGCTACTTTTGATGATAGTGGTGTTGGTCTATTCCAGTCTATACATTAGAATTAGACAATAAACATTATGACAGACAATGTTGTGCAGACACTGTCACAACATTAAATAATGTCACGGCATATGTGACAGGAAAACTGCTCAACATGCAGGTCTATTAGCCCCACGGCTACATTTTTTTTAAAACCAGCGCCATCCTCACTATGCACATTGAGCTCTAGCTGCAGGCTGGGACTTGTTTTATTGCTTGCGATTTATTTGCGCGTTATTAGCTGGCATCATTTCCTAAAACTGTCATCCTGTGAATGTGCGTGAAGTGAATACTCATTCACTGCTGTGTAACAATTCACAGGCAAACTGTGTGTTGGTAAATGGATGAACAGACGTCAGTGTTCTTGTGAGATTTTTGTTGTACTATTCATTCTGGGTATATCTTTAGATTTGCTGAATAATCTAAGACAAATTAACATGATAATTTGATTACAATGAGCATTACATATGCATAACTATTATTAGGTCCCCAGTATCATATACTCAGGGATCTTGGGATCTGGAAATTCTGATGACAACAATGTTTCCCACTTGGGGTACATCCCAAGTCTCTTATTTGACATTTCCTTGCTCCACGGTCGAACTAGAAGCTGTTCTGGTCCACCATCTTGCAGTTCATCCCAAAGAGGTTATTTTTTGCTCCAAGGAGCTATGAGCGAGGATACATGAGAGCAGCCTTCATGGAAGTCCGACAAACCCCCTTTATTGGATATCAGTTATTGGATTGGACTCGACACCGCTCAATATCATCATATTTCATACTACAGTCAGAGACAGTAGGAGAGTCTCTGTCAGTTTATCTTCATTTCATTTTAATTCCTGAGTCGGGTTTGATATGAGTTACTTAATTTAAATTTTCCCTGAAACATTTAGCCTAATAATATAACAATTTCCAATGCTCAAAAGGCACCAAAAGCAATGACTCATTCCCACTGTGTATGTATCTACTGTAGCTTTCAACAGATGTGAAAATACTGTTGTCTTGTTTTTTGTCTGTTCTTACCTGAGTTATTGGCGGCCATGCTCTCCTTCTCGCCTATCAGACAGGTAGCAGTAGAGGGCAGAGTGGAGTCAATCATCTTCAGGTATTGCTCCCTGGCCAGATTTAGAATGACCTTCAGGTCATTGACAGGTATTGAAGTTGAAGCTGATGCTTCTTCTTTCTGTCCTGGACACACAAACAGAAACAGAGGTTAGTTTTCATTTTGGGAACATTTCAAATTTTGTTTTTGGCTTAGTTGGTAAAGCTGGTGGATGATTTGGCTTCTTATTCCTTTATTAGTTTTATTTTAAAGCAACACCAGGTAATTAGTAGTCCCAAATAACTGCAATGCATATGGCTGGGCAATAAACCAACCAAAACACCCTGAAACTCTCACAGAGTAATTTGATTAATTTTATTCTATTTATTGTTGGTATAATAACACTAACTCACTCACTACTCTACACCTGACTGCTTAAGTTTAAATTTGCTGCTTCTTGTGTTTAGAGAAAATTTCTCACTAGTGACTACTACAAACTCAAAAATTCTATGTGAGGAAACAGGGAGAATCTCTTGCAATAAATTAGGGCAGACGTGGGTCTTCTCTAGTGTAGCTACAGTGGGTGACCCAGCTTTAAAGAAGCAGTTCACATAAAAATCTTATGCAGGCTTAGCTTTTTCAGTGGAACAGCAAACGCTCTTAAACTCTCCAGACATTTTGAAGAGATGAAGAAGGGGTAAAGAGGGGCAAGTGAAATGATAAAAGGATATTTTTATAGTATTGGTTTATTAAGACACAAAAGTCCATGATTGTGCTTAAATGTATTTGATGTATCTGTCAAACTGCACTGCTTTGTGAATTTTACTTGATATGCAAAATTCTTGAGAAATGTTAACATTTGTCAAAAATAATGACATGGGTGTGATGGGATAATTAAAACAAGTTTCACATTGCATTAGAAATGGTTGAGAGTTAGATATCCAGTGAAATTGAAAATGAGAAAAATTATAAATGAAGTCGTTGGCACGCGCATGCATCGGCTTGCATACTTATCACACGGACTGATTACAACCTATAAGACAACAGATAGACCCGTAGTGCACGCACACACACATTTCACATAATCAAAACTTCCAACAGTAGTTCTAACTTTCGCAACTTATAAGGACATGCCTTTTCCCACTTTAATGCCAAGTCAGAATATATTGCGTTGAATTTCATTAAGACCTGCGGTCTGTCAGGACTCTTCATTCTGCTCACGGCCTTTTCAAAGAACAGCCCTATTGCTTTTCCTCAAGTCTTTTGAATTTCACTCCACTTCCTTTAATCTGGCTCCACTCCACTGGTGTTTCACTATCTTTGCCTGCCAAGGGGACATTATGCGTGTCTGTAAAATAATGATATTTCAACAGAGTCTTCCTATGCACTAGTCTGCGCTGAGGGCTGGAGAGAGCCGAGAGTTCAAACTGACGACAGTTCAGGAAGCTCCGAGTGGCCCAGACAGTTGATACGTCTCTCGTGTCCATTTGGCTTTGTCTCCGGTATGAATACATATGTTGAAGACTGACATATGATCTCAATTGAATTTAGATTAGTCAACACCGGGGACTTTTTCTTCTGGCAGTTGAATGAATAAAGTGGACACTGATGGTTTGGCTTTACTGGTTTTGAAGAAAGTATTTTTTAATTACTACATTATCACATACAAATAATGTTTTACATTATAAAGGTTGTAAAAGCTGCAACTAAAGACCATTTCCAATATTGATTAATCTGATTAACTGATTGTTTTTGTCTATAAAATGTGGGAAAATAGGGAAAAATGCTCATTGCAATATATTCAAATGTATCCGGTCAAAAAGACAAAACCAAAGAATATTCAATTATAATAATAAACTATCAAAATAGTTTGGGTTTTTTTGCAGATTGACTGAACAGTTGAATACTAATCCTTCCAGCCCTAATTTGTTAAAGTATTTTAGTTTTTATTACATGTTTTTGAAGAGATGCAAACAAATGAAGCAAATGATATGATGTGTTCTCCCATTCATGACATTGCAAATGATACAGTGTGTGATTTAATATCAGGCCAGAGTGGTAGTGTCAGTGTGGATAACATGAAGATGATGAGATGGTGAAAAGGACTAATTCAAGATGGGTATGAGACAGCAGCCATCTTAAGGGTCAGACAAGGGTTAGCAACATGAGGCCAACACATCCTTGGCATGAGTGCAGGGTCAACTATGTTTATGTGTGCATGTTCCTTTCTAGAAGTCAACATGAAATCATCATCAAATCCCTTCTCTCCTCTACGTCTCTGTGAGAGATGGCTTATTAATCCTGCTTTGGGGAATAACATTTTGATTGACATATATTAGTGAGCTCAATGTGCTGTTCTGAGGGCTCGCCCTGGATTTCATGCATTAGCATACAAGCAATTAGTAAAAGCACAATGGTAGCACTAAACCACAGCAGAAATGGTGCTGAAATCTGTTTGAATACAACAGTGTGCAATCATTTTATACAGACATCTATATAATGCTCAACACTTACTTTTTGTATAAAGTCTGAGATGTGTTTTCCATTTGCGGAGCTCTTTATATGTAATACTTACTGAGGTATTCTTTAAGTAACAGTATCTGGACCTGGGTCACCTTCCTCTCTCTCTTCAGCAAGCTGTCTCCTTGGAGACAGGGCAGGGAGTAGAGGATGTTGCCTACAGCGCCTCCTGGTCAAAGGAGTGAATGAAAAAAAAAGAGAGCCTGATTAGATCATTTGCAAACATCAATTGTGTTTTGCTTGGAGTGGAACTCATAGAACATTTGGATATTCCTCTGGTGGGATCAGGGCTACTTAAACGATTTTACACAAAAAAGTTAATTAAAAAACTAATGATCTGGGGACTGTCTTTCCTTAGACCCTCCCTGCCTGTTGAGTGGCATTATGAGGGTTGAAGAGTCCAGTGTTTTTGGAACTTGACCTATAATAACAGAAATGTCAGAATTCCTCTGCAGCTTTTAAAAGTTTTAAAATGTTTATTTTTGGATTCATTGCTTTAACATGGTCAACAAAACTGAAGAATCTATGACCTTCTCAACTTTTCCTCCTACAAATACTGTTATCTAAAATGTATTCCATGGATTAGAATACCGTTTCCCACACTGGGGGTCAGAATGCCTCTAAGGGGTCAAAAGATAAACCTCAGGGGTCATAAGATGATTGACAGGACAGGAAAAATAGACAAAATAATTTAATTTTTATGACTTTTCTCACCTCTTTGCTTGTAACTTGTAAAGAAATTGATACTTTTACCTGTTCAAGTTACCAAAAAATTTGAGAGAGAGGAAAAAATATAATTTTGGGGTGGATTTACTCACAACTCTCTGACATTATGCAACACATTACAAGAGGTGACAAGTCAGCAATGCATCATATGATAAAATAATTGTAAACCACTCAATTAGTATACAATAACAAAAAGATAAACCTGAGATCGCTGCTCCAATATTTTGCAGTAAACAAATGCTTGATGACTGAAATGTGTGATCCCTTTGCTAGGAAGAGAGACTAGAGACCCACAAAGAAGCCTTATGTTAGTACAAGACACAAAGGTGTACGGAGTATTTCGTTGTTTTGTTCAGGTGCAATAACCCTCAGGTGTGCATTTTAAGCCTTTTTTATGAAAACTGTGCTGTGCTCATGCTGTGTCATTGCAGCGGTTAGGGCACCTTTTACAGTCCTGCTCTGCATTTAATAGTATTTCCTAAATGTCTGCAGAAGGTTGCATAAAATGTTAACAACAGCAGTAACTCTCAGGAGGAAACACCACAGGTCTCTTGAATGTCATATAAAGCCCAAGAACAATGAAGGACTTTTATCAGGAAAGGAGCTTTAGGTTCAGGGAACAAAAAAATACAACAGTGTAAGATTCACATGTATGTCCTAGTCTAGTCAGCCCTAACCAGCCAGTTCGTATCTCATCTGCCTATACATTCACTCCATTCCTCCTTATCACCTTTCCTGCTTCCTTCCCTCTTTGCCAATACATCTGTCCCTTCAGTAGCCTTTCTCACTCCCTTCTTCTTTTATTGTTTTTATTTCTGTGACAAAATGTGAGGAAATCTTTAACAGAATATCCACAACTTCCCAGTGCTGTAAGTGAGGAGGGGGGAAGTGAGGAGAAACGATGAAGGAGGAGGCAGCAAAACAGAGACACGCAGCCCCGTTTTTGTAATACAGGTTAGCCTGATGAAGGATGACAACCCCTCAAATTCTGTCAATGAAACCAGAAGGGCTTCTACTTTAATCAAGCTGAGAAGCCGCTTTAAGAAATATGGGGCACTTGAAGGGCTTCTCTTTACAATATGGCAGAAAATAAATTAGTGTTCTTTAAACTTGATAACAAGTTTTCGAATTTGCTCTTCCCGAGGGGGCACTGAGGGAGAGACAGGAGGCAAAGGTACTGTATTAGGTGAAACGGTCAGGTGTTATTGTAGTAATTGTTTTTTCTTTTTTTTAGTTTGGACCACTGATTTGGCCCGCTCACCAACATGGTCAGCAGCTGGAGCTGTAGCAGTGGCTGTGACAGACAGCACATGGAGGCATTTAAGGCAGTTTAAAACCCTTAGCATCAAAATTTTAACTTTTTGAGTTTGACAACTCAGTTAAATTTCAAAACACTTTCAGAGGATATCATTATCAATTCAATTAAATTCCTTTGTTTTTTTGACATGAGTGTAACAAAGACAATATTGCCAAAGCAATAAGTAAAAAAAGAAGAAAAATTAAGAAGAAAAAAATCATAAAATCAAGTAAATATCAGAAAACAAAAACCTTTCCCCCCTGTGTGTGTGTGTGTGTGCATGCATGTATGTTTGACAGAGATTGTGGAGGTGTGTGTTAAAGTTGTTAGTTGATGTATGTGCTTGTGTGTTGATGTTCTTCTTGGTGTGTGTGATATACTAGCAAAAATCGGCATTGCAAATAAACGTCTATAAATCACTTAAATTAAGTAGAAAAAAAATATGCTCTTTAAAACTCCAGAACTTGCCTGAACATCACCACGGTTTAAGTTTTTTAAGTTTTCATCAGTATCAAAGCAATCCCGTGATAGTTAGAGTACATCCATGGATACCCATTGCAAACAGTAACTACTAATAGCTAATTCTACTAATGTTTAATGAAGCAAGATGCTGCAATTCAGGGGTTTAAACAAATTAAGTCACACACACACACACACACACACACACACACACACACACACACACACACACACACACACACACACACACACACACACACACACACCTCTAAAAACATGACAACATAATATACCTGATGATGACAGAGACTTCTCTCTCAGCAACCCAGAGACGGTTGCCATGGCAGCTGCTCCATTGATTTGACTGTCTGAGTGCAACATCCTGACCCTGCATGCTCCACACCCAACGTCCTCTGAGCCCTGGACCAACAGGAAGTAATGAGCACTCTCACCTTTCACCTCTACATCAGGCACTACAGGGTACAGACAGAGAGAGAGAGAGAGATTACATCTGTAGTTAATCCACAACGCAAGAGAAATATAAATAAAACTTGTCTTATTTTAATATCTGCTGCACTCAAAGTATTGTTTTTTATTGCACTTTTTTTTTTTTTGCTGCTGCAATAAAAAATTATATTTGCATTTTAGATTATTTTCAAATTAGATTATTTCTACTTCTTATATCAAACATAAAAACCATTGGTCAAGTCCATTGTATATCTAATCCCTGCTGTTCTATCTTGTCTCTTTAATATTTTTTCAGATTCTTGCTCTGGTGTTTTCCAAATTGATTCAGTCTTACTTCTGAGTCTGCTTCCCTAGTGGAGGGCTTTATTATCTTTATCAGTGTAGTCCTAGTCACCAATTTATTTCCCAACAGGAGGTGCTACAGCTCCTCTCTGTAACAGTCATCCATTTAATGAGTTAATGAAAAGTACTTGAACAAGTTTTACCGGAGAAGGACTTTGGTCTCCTGGTTATAGACTCTCTCCAGCGCTGGGAGCTGAGTTGGCTGGCTGCAGGCTGGGTGATGGGGGTGATTATACAGGAGAGGCTGAACAATGCTCCAACCTTCAGACAGAAAACAGTGGATACAAATAAACATACAGTGCAAACAACAACCCCTTAGCCCCATGAATCACACAAAAGCTGAATCTTATATGTATCTTCTACTGTACGTCCTATTCACATTTGACTGGAGACTAAAGTAGTTAATGAATTTCCTCCTCAAGCAAAAATCGAAGTAAATTAACTTACTTATGTACCTTCTTTCTATGGCAGACCTATTCCAATATTTGTACATATAAGAGCACAACTTAGGTGCCAATACCTTTCCACGCAGTGATCTCAGCTGGTCCAACAGAAGTTTAGCTTTCATTGATTTCATAGACAGGTTTCTGTTTGTTGGTGGTGAAGGAACAATGAAATGTTGAGGAGTAGATTTTTTTTCGAGACAGGAAAATTCTCAGGGGGCTGCAGTAAAAACAGTAGAAGCTGCATTATATATCCTGTATTTAATCAACTAATCTCAACCATATTAAAAACTAATGGATGGAGCAATTTGCATCTAGATAATACATGTTTTCAATATACTGAAGTTACAAAATACAGTCTAGCTGTTTGAGACAAGTGGGTCCATTTCAGTGTAGATGAAGGCAGACAGACATGATGTTACTTTGGTTCCCCAGAAACAAACACACTCTTTATAAATGAGGATACAGTTCAAACTGGGTTCCAGACATCAGAAACTTGGGCAGGCCTGATAGATCAACCAGTTGAACCAAATCTAAAACTGGTGCGTAGTAATGGAAGACCTGCAAACACAGAACAGAGGGTGGAGGAGAGATAGAAAAAAATATGAATGAATGAAATAAGGAGAGAAACAAAAGAAGTAGAAAAAAAACAACAACAGAGTTGTCAACGTCATTATAAAAATCAGATAAGTTGATCATGGGGAGTTTTCATTATTGGGACAATTGTCAATCAAAATTTTCTGATTTATTTTAAATTGTCATTGGGGAATAGGATCATTCCAGTCATTTCAAAATCCTAAGCCTCTCACTATGGCTGAAGGCTCAGTTTGCCCATTGTATCCCCCACAAAAACAGTTAAACTAGATGGATTCCAAACTAAAGAACAGGGAAATGCTGAGCCTATCTGTGATGCACTAAAAATATTTGTTCCTGAGAAAAATGTAAGGTAAAGTCATTCCACTATGTTTTTTCCCAGGATAATTGTTACATGAAATCTCATATTGTCCCATGCCTAGAGAGCAGCATCTAGAAAAAGTGGTCCATCAGTCTGAAGGTTAAGATGCAACTGAAGTGTCCTTGAGCAAGATACCCAACCCTAATGTTACATAACTGAGCCTGAAATGTGATCTTCCTTGGTCCTAAATCTGGATCTGAACTTCCAATGGCAAGTAGTACGTTAAACAGAAAAAACTTGAACCAGGAATAGTTTGGCAGATTTTCTTCCATTAATGACAATCGAAATTGCTGATTAACTTTCTGTTAAAACACTTCAACACAAACCACCTAAACACACAGAATATCTCTTGTTTTCTGTCAGAAACCAATCAGGTACTTAACACACTGTAGCTCACATAAAAAAAAAAGGCTTCCACTTCAACAGTCTGCAGTTGTCCTACTTCTCTAATGAGCTCATTATGTTGTGAGAAAATCAATAATATATTAATCATTTGTCACATGTAAAAACAGGTCATTTGCATATACGGACAATTACAAGAATACCAAGGAAAGCCGGAAATCTCAATCTCATAATTTATTGATCTGGAGCGAAGATTGTGCCGACCTATTTCTGATAGACTCTTATAGATTAAGAGTAGATGAAGATTTTAATGATCCCTGATTAAACTCCCAGTTTCACTAGCAAGTTGGGAAAGTTTCTACCTCCACTGTCCAAACGAATGAAGAGACTGATTAATGTGGTGACCCAAACAGATCATTAAGACCTCCAATATTTAACTGTCCTCATTACTTGAAATGGGTTTAAAATTGCATGTGCCTGTGATTAAAATATTTTTTTAATGTTTAAACGTGACTCTGGGTGATTCATTTGTCAACATGTGCTGGAAATACTGCAAAACTGACTTTCTCCTGATTGCTGTAGTATGTTTTGTTCTTCCTTTGCAAGAGAAATACATATTGTCCTTATTAATTTCTTGTCTATAAATTGCTGTAATCTTGTCCCAAGGCTGTAAATAGCTGTGCAGTTCTGAACAGTAAGACCTGTTCATTAGCAGTTCATTGTTGTGTTACATTGTATAACAGTCATCCAGATATAACTTGCTGCTGTGAAGGCACTTCAATGATCAACACTCGCTCTGTTTTCACAAATGCAACAGCAATCTTACATTTATATTTCTATACTTAGATACACGTCAATAACATTGTTACGCTGTAATGTCAGTCATCACGTCATTAGAATTACTTACACATTCAATGTTTATTTGTAAAAAGGCAGAGGTAAGGGTGAAACATAATGTCTTTTGTGTTGCCTCAACACATTAGGCATCAACAAGTAGGTGTTGAGAGGTTGCTGAGAGAAATAGGAGGATGTTTCCAGCGGTGACAGACTGATGCATGACTTTAACTGCAGGTTTAAGTGCTTAGGAGAGGGGGGAAGTGTTTGAAGGCAGATTTTGTGGCCAGAATACCCAAAAGAAAGTGCAATGTGAAGCTGTTTCCCTTCCTTGACAAACAGGGTTGAGGCGCTTTTTAAAAAGGACACTCCAAGAGACTAAATGTCAACATTTAAATATGCTGTAGGGCAGCTGGATCTGTGCAGGAAGGAGAACATTTACTATTAATAAAAAAGTTTTTTCTGCCCACAGCAAAATTAAGTTAAGTTAAATAGGTGACTGTGACTTGAGTCAAAGGATTTTCCTCCATATCGTATGCTTTGAAAATGCGTACAATAGATGTACAAATAGCTTTTTAGGAGAATTTTGGAAAATTGCTGTCTATTTTTCCCTTTCACTTCTTCAATTGCCCTTTAAAGAAACAGCCTTATAACTGGTAGCATCATTGTACAATAAAGACCTGTACTCCTAAAAAGGAATTACCCAGTCTGTCAGTACATCTGGTTGTATTAGACCATTGTGGGTCTAATTGCTGAAAATCAATAAGTTGCTGTGTGTGTGTGTGTGTAACTGTGTTATGGCAATACTGCCTTATCACTGCATCAATGGGATAAAGTACCATGATATGACAAGTATTAGCATGCACTACATTAGCTATAAAGACAGAATATAATCACAATATTTTGCCTATAAACTTCATTGGACTTCCTCAAAATGTACTATATTATGATTCACATTGATATCACAACATAAAACTAAATATACCATGGTTGAACATTTTATCCTTGAAGTTGACAATGTTATCACAAGTATGCGATATAAGCTCACCTATACTTATTACTTGCCTGCAGATTATTTCTAATGTGCAGTAGATCTCACACCGAACACACACAGTTCAGTGTGCATGTGTGTGTGTGTGTGTGTGTGTGTGTGTGTGTGTGTTAGTAATTACACAACAGTTACTCCTGACAGTGAGGAGGCCTAATAGTTTTTGTCTGAAAACAGTTTAGATTGTGTGTATGTGTCTGTGAGTGCAAGTCATTTTGCAGTCAGTTATCACAGCAGTGTGGAGATGTGATAGTTTTGTTGTCCTCAGAGTTTTGTTTTTTTGAATTGTGTGCCAAGACAATCACTGCCATCTGCTTCTCTGTACAGACACACACACACACACACGCACACAGACACACACACAGACAGTCTCACACTCAGATGTAAATGAGTATGAGTAGCATTCCAAAATACACACACCTTAACTATGGTGCTCTGCTGTGTTAACTGAATAATGAGCACACACACAACAACACAAACACATATTATCTGCTGCCAGACACAAACTCACAAAAGAAAACACTACTTAAAATGAACACAATACACATATTAAACAATATAAAACAGACACTGTATCACTACTCTCACCTGAAGAGATTATTTTCAGTATTTCTTTAATGTGCAGACATGACAGAGACATGCTTTCAACGTTGTCTTTAATGTTAATGTTATTGATGCCAATTATGGCTCTCTATGCATGTGTATGTGTGCTATAGATCCTACATCAGGCCCCAACTTCCTGGGCACAGCTCTTGTGCAGTTCCATTGTTATAGATATTCATCTACATAATAAAACTCATTACAGAACTGTACTATACCAACTGTTACAAAAGACCTAGTCTCATATGGAGTACTATTTATATAGATGCACAGTTTTTTGTCTTTTAGACATGTGAAGACTTCAAACTGGGACTGTTATTCATTCTTTTCTTAGACTAAATGATTCATTAAATTAATCAAGAAAACAATTTGCAATTTTATTATAAAATGAACTGATACATTAGTTGCATGGTTAAGATTGAAATCTGTTTAAAAAGACATAACTGGGTGGTCTTTATTAAGACCAACATATTTGAATGACTCTTGTAGTAACAAGCCACACTATTTAAGAGTTCTGAAATCAGCGGGTTAAATTGAAATTAAGTTCTAAAACAATTTTATTATAAACACAGACTGAAATTTGTCCTAAAATGTATATAAACTCTGGGCAATGATGGATGGACAAAAGATGAGCACAAAACTATGAAGTAACAACAGATTTCCCTCAATGAAACCCTTGGGCATTGGCCCTTAGTAATTAGATGATAAATCTATATTTGAATACTGATTTCTGGCTGCGAGGTCATCACAGGTTCAAGAGGTCAGCACTCATTTGCCAGATAAAATACATTTGATTTATCTGGCTGATGGTCCTTCTGACTAATGGGTCCTTAATGTCATTAAAGGGCAACCAGGAAGTGACCTTTTAGAATTCAACTCTTTCTAGCCACCAGAAGTCATGTACTGTGTGTAGGGCTGTGCAATATGACAATATATATTGTGTGACAGTGGAAAAATGTTGTTTTTATATTTTGCTCTATCGTTTTTCTGGTTGTGTCACAAATGACTCTCTTCTGGAGTTCTTCTGCTCAGCTTAATTTCTCTCCTCCCCATACATACACCAACAACTCAGCACCGCTCTGCACACACACCAGCTTGCCCCACCTCTTTCTGTTTCACTTTCTGTGTCTCTCCAGCAGTATGTTTAATAAAGTCACTAAAAAACACAACTTGCGTTTAAGTTGATTTCACAACAGCAGGTGAGCCTCCTGTGGAGGAGGCTTGTTGTTAATGAGCCTGTAGAAATGATCCAAAAGTAAAACCAACATGGTACCAAATGCCATACAAGGTCCATGCTTGTAAAATATTCACCATCCCCACGTACCAGATAACACTTTTCTCTCTCTCTCTCTGTGTTTCTCTGCAAAATACTTCAATTGGTCGATGGACGTTAAAATACCTGGGCACACACGTAAAGTCCTATTTGCGAGTCAATGAGAAATTAATATTGAATATTTTCTTACATACTTAATTGAAAATTTGCACAAAGGTTTTAAGTAAAAGGAGAAAAATAGTCAAATATAAGCAAGTACCTTTTATTTATCGAGTAAATCATTCAAAAAGTAACAAGAAATAGGCCTTTTTAATGTGGTCATTTTATATAAATTAAAATGTATTCATCGAATTTACAGAAAATCTGTTATATTGTTACATATATTGTTATCTGGATATGAAATGACCTATATCAGTATACGAGATTTTGGTCATATCACACACCCCTAACTGTGTGTTCATTCAACTCTTTAGGAAGGAGGTACTATGTGTGTTAAACAGGAGTTAAAGGAACAGATCTCCCCTAAATAAAAAATTCAGTCATTATCTACTCAACATAGTGTCAATCAAAAGCTCCCCTAAAGTTTGGAGGAACATGGACGTACAGACATAATTTCATCATAGTCTTTTTTCAAGCTGCTAAAATGTAAAAACATACATTTCTCTAAACAAGGTTTCCCACAGCGCTCTGGCAGAAGACTCTGCTTGCTACTGTGGGGCAACTGCTGGCATGTTGGAGAACAAATCTTTGTCAGAGACGAAAGAAAAAAAGAAAAGCCTTTGAAAACAAAATGCAATTGTCTGGAGATAAAAAACCAATAAATGTAGCTGGTGTAGGTGTTTAGTTAAATGAGACGTATCTATGACATAGCCTGGTCCCAGACCTCTGAATCACTGCCAGTCTTCAGTTTGTGTAGTGATTCAAACAGGTCTGTTGTTGTGCCCGCTGGTTGCTGTTGGACATTCAACCAATTAAAGCTTTGTATGAGGGAGAAAGAGTGTGGACAGCTTCTTCCTACATACTATAGATCCCTAATAAGCTACACGCATGAAAAAGTGTGGATGAGATGGAAGCAGCTATAAGGGTTGCTGTAAGTGAACGTACAAAAATAATAACCATATTTCTATGATCTTTGTGAAAAACGATAAAATAATAAAAAGGTACCCTGTGGAGTTTTCTTGAAAACAAACGTTTACATTTAATGTCTCTAAACAAGCACTTCTGTGTTGACTATAAATGATGTTGGTGAGACATATACGTCACTCGCTACTGAGCACACACTGAACTCAGTGCTTTTTTTCTTTAAGCATGTAGTCTGCAATGAAAAACAAATAACATTTCAATGGCTGAATGAATAGGGGAAAGGGGAACAAAATGCCAATTTAGTTTCATTATCAAACTAGACTTCCCACACTTGAGCTGTAGAAGATTATCACATTCTCATTTCAATGTGAAAGGTTAACAAGACAAATTAAGATTGGAAGATTGGAAATTAAAGATGCGAGAGGTAGTGAAGAACTCAGGACTCACCTCAGACTGTAGTTTGTGGTCTGTAGTCACGTAGGGAGCGCGCAAAAGACTGGACCCTGTCTTCTGTTGCACTGGACAGCGCAGAGAAAAGCCATCGAAACGGAGCTCCGACACATACTGAGGCAAACACACACACACACATACACACAGGAGAGAAGAGGTCACATAGTAGAAAGTGATTTTATTCTTTTGATTTAAGATCCAGTGTGTAATATTTAGGAGGCTCTATTGGCAGACATTGAATATAATATTCATGGGTATATTTTCATTAGTGTAAAATCCCCTTAATGAATCGTTATGTTTTTTTTATCCTAGAATGGGCTGCCTTTATCTACAGACGTCGTCTTCCAGCTCCAAACACTGGCTCTTAATAGGGGCGTTTGTGTTTTTCGCAGCCACGGTAGTTTTTCCTTTGCACTTGGAAGAGGAGGTTGAAGCAGGGGAGTTGCAATGTCACTAAAACCTACACACTGGGCCTTTAAATTACACATAATCTCTCGAAATCAGGACAACTGTAGTTGGAAATTAGATGTACTATACAGGACAGAGATACACATACTGTTTGTCCTCACAGATTGCTATGATGTATCAGTATATCATGCAGTGTTTGCTCTCAAACTTAGTCACAGAAATAGTCATAGCTTGCTTTGTCACATGGCTTTATAGTTAATGGTACACGCGCATATGCTCACACATATTAGTTGTTATGCTATGTATAACACGGCTGTAAAGTGGTGGCGGTTGTTCTCAGACAGACTTTTGTTCCTTTGGGAATTCTCCTTTGTTCCACCGCTCTCCAACTGTGAAGCTTTTACTGACTGACTGCCGGAGCCCACTCACTTCTGAAGGCAGCAACTTAGAAAAGGTCAGTTTATTGAAGGAGAAGCTGCATGCTTGCCTCAGCATACTCAGAGCTCAGTAGACAGAGCAGAGCAGAGATGACTGGAGAAAATATTTGTCAAGCATGACATAGTTGAACAGTTGATTGGGATAATTTCAGATTATAGAGTGACTGATACTAGATCTTTGAAGTGGATACTAATATAAATGTTTGAGAGTTTTGAAAATAAGATTGTATTTGTTTAACACACAACAATTCATATTCTCAGGTGATTATACAGTAATGAAAACATAACTATGAATATTATATACAAAACTTAAAAAAAACATTCTGCACTTTCAAATCATTAATTCATTTTTTCATTATTTCTAAATCAACAATGGATCAAAGGATTATGTATAATGTGAAAGGAGGTTGCTCGTAGTGATGAACCCACAGAAAATTAGCATCTTTCAGCTCAAGGATTATTTTTAATGCCTTTTACTTAAAATGTTTGTTACACCGCTCACAAATGACAAAAAAAAACATAAATGAATGCAGCTTTAAACTTATTTCACAGAAACACATGTATTAAAACACACAAACAACTTTCAACCAAGAAGAAAAACGCTTTGGTACATGTTAAATAGCTGTCATAGAGTTTGGATATAGTTATAATGGAAAGTAATGTTAACAGCACACGTAGAGAGTCAGAAATGTTCAACCTAAGCTAGATCACACTGAAAACTGTACGTGGACTACTACAGAATTACATAAGGTGTTGTTAGCCTCTTTTTCTCCTCTAGAAAATATAAAATGTCAGCAACATAATGAAATGTTGCTTCAACTTATCAATGCTGTTAGGTGACTATTTCTTATCTCCAATTTTCCATGTTCCAATGTTTTTACTTCAGTAGAAGGAATGCATGCTAGATCAGAACATTTGCAATCTCTAAAGTCTTAAATCTTTTAAAACATTTTTGGTTACATTAAAGATTAGAAGCAAAAAACAAGGCTGTGTAGTTCTTACAATACGCCCTAATTTCTTTGAAAAACACATTATTTAATATAAGATGTATTTTTGAGCCATTTCAAGATACCTCAGTTGTATATTTTCAGACACAAGCTGAAAATGTCAACTGAAAATCTCAGCCAGATAAAAAAAAAACACCAAAAGTATGAGACATAAAGGGAAACTCTGCAGAAAAACAGATTGCTGACTCTCCCCAGAGGAACGTGGAAGAATAGCACAAAATTGGCAAATTCTGTCCAGAGACAGAAAACTACTGCACCTGCCAGAGTTTCCGCTTAATATGAAAGAAGTACAAGTGGGCATGAGGTAATCTCCAGAGTAGCAACAAAAAATGCTGTCAACTCACCTCAGCCTATTCACTTCGACAGTAAAAGGCAGTGTGTGAAGCTACTTGGAAATAGTAGTACAGTACACTACATGCTCAAAGGACAATATCTTATTGTTTACCATCTTGATAGAAACAATGGGAATTAGCATGCTGACATAATAGCCTCCACACTTCTGGGAAGACTGCTTACAAGTTTTTGGAGCCTGGCTGCGGGGAATAATTCCCCTCAAGGCATACCAGTTCATGCCAAAGTTGTTAAAGGTTAAGGTCAGGGTTCGCAGGCCAGTCCAATTCTTCCTCAACAAACTTGTTTTTAACCTACTTTATCAGATGTTTATTTTTATCTTGACCGAATGCCCGTGTTTGTTAACGTTCCTCTCCAGGCAAAAATGACTGGAGAGTTTGTGCAGAGTTTTGTTTTCACATTCATCAGCTTAAATCTATGTAGGCGTGATGTGGAAACTTGAAGCCTGCAGTGCACATACAATGAGAATGGACTTTTAGGTGAAGTAGAAAACATCTTGTGTCTGACACGTTTGCACATTGATAGATTTTGGATATTTGAACAATGTGAAAAACCCATTCATCAGACAGAAAATTATATTTTATTTTTATATGTCTGAACTCATGTCTGGATAGGATCTTTTAAAATGGTCTTACCCTCTCCCCCACCCTTCCAACATACAGAATGTAGATAAAGGTGTTTGCCTGGTAATTCATAAGAAGTAAAGGACCTTGCACCTGCACCTCAATAACACCAGCGCTGTCCTTCAAACAGAAACGGCTTAGAGGCGTTTTCTTTGTCCTTTTCCGAAGCCCACGCCAATAATCAATTGCAGCCGACTCCTCAGGGATCGAGGTCGAGTCAGAGCGGGGCTCGGCTCGGGTTGGCTCTGCCAGGGCAATGCCAGCAAGGCAGAGCTATTTCCCATGACCCCTCAGTGACTTCCAGTAATACCTCTAGATTCATTCAGCAGCAGAGAAAGACGTATCCCCCATGGAGTAAAAAAAATCACTCAATTTAAAATATGTGAAAATGTCCCTTATAGCCTTGTGTGCACTGCATGAGAAATTCCATATGAAAGGGATAAAGAAAGAAAAATTGGGGCATGAATCAGGTCTCTGAACCATGATTAGCCCCGGTACAGAAGGTTCTTAAGGAAACACTGTTTTCTGTGCTGTCTCTCACTGGGGCCAGCTAGCTGTGCGCTCCAGACTACAGAGAACAGTGCTCACAGTAAAAAGCTCTGGGCAAGCAAGCAGGTAAGTTCAAAAAGACACAGCTTTTTCTCATGCCCTCTACAGTACTTATCCAGAATACACACAGACCCGATAAGACTTTCTCTCAACAGCCAGTACTCACACAGATCAATCATACCTCACACACATCAATGGCATCTACACTTCTTTGAGTGTGTACAGATTGATAAAAGTCTTTGCATATGACTTACAGATAAATCTCTACTTTCTTCTTTTTGGTGCACAAAAGGGCCGTCACCCACATCCCGTACACATTTGTCTAAATATCTTAACCTTCTTGTTATTGACAAACAGCTTTGTCATACTGCAGAGGCATGCACATATGGCACACACTCACAGACACACAACCTTCTTCGAAATCCTTACTCTTCCTCACGCTAATAAGTCGAGCTATTCGGCCCCCCAGAGTCCTGTGTCGCCAACACCCTCTCCTCTGTGTTTGTAACCATTACACAGCCTTTTTCAACAAAACCTAATACTGCTGAGCTGTTCTCCTGCTGTACTTTTTATAGGTTCAAGTTAGTTAATGTTTTCCCCTTCCTCTATCTCTCTACACTTAATAAAGACAAACTAAAATAAATCATGTAAAAAGAACTTTATTTGAATGTTTCCTCCCCACACTCACTCCAATTTCTGAGGTCCTTACCTTCTTCTCTCTGATAACCAGGCCGCCTCTCCACACTTCTTTATGGTCGATACAGTTGTCTAGGTCAGTAGGCTCCACCAGACAGGCACTCAGGTAGGACGCTGCTTTCTGCCACCTGGGCAGGGGGAAAAAATGGATCACTCAATGACCAGCACAGGGGAACTTTTATTCCTGATTCCTGTAAATTAGGAATAAAAAGTCCTGATTCATATTAAATATCTTATTTAGGTATGTACATCAGCAATATATTACTGATTATTTAATGGAGTTATTTTCCTCTTAACTAAAAGGAGTGCTTCTGTAGAAATGTTGCTCAGACTATTCATCCATCACTTTAAGCCAACACCTGCTCATACTTACTCTTCTAACTCCCCCTAGTGGAGCATTTTAAAAACAAATTCACACAGCGGTGCTGCATGTCCTGGATTTTGAACCATCTTTGCAATATATCATCAGCCTTTCATGTTTGGCATATCACAGTTAACAAATAATACTGTGTGTGTGTGTGTGTGTGTGTATTGGCATATGTACATTGTGACAGAAAACCAAGTAAATGTACAGGTACCATTAACACAGTTCTCGTGTTGGTGTGTATGCATATTAGATTTGTTTCATAATCATTTCCTTTGTGCAACTCATTACCTAGATGTAAAGCATGTGTATTTTTTGTCTCCTCACCCAGTTGTGTGCTGTGTGACGACAGTGATCTTAGCAGCATGCCAGCAGGACAAGTGTTTGAGGGCTCCCAGGAGAGGGAGCAGGTCTTTAATAGGAGGGGACTGTTCCGCAGAGCCCAACACCAGAACATCCAACAAGGCTTTACCTGATGGGGAGAAATGGGACAAACCATAGAGGAATTCATTAGACACTGTCTTTCCTCTTCTTCTTTTTTTAACATGCATATCTCTGTAGGATTTCATGAGGGTCAATGAACTGTGCTGGTTTCTCCCCTGACACCATCTTTTTAACAAGTAGGCAGAATTGCTTGTTTGCAAATTCTAAATATCGAGATCTGTGGAAGAAAAGTTGGAAGCCAGTGGTGACTCCAGCTCCTTAGGGCAGCAAACGATGGAGTGTGACTGTTCCTGAACTCCTGTGGTGGTGGTGGTGCGCTACGAAATGCTCTTTACGAAAGTGAAATATCACTTCAGGAGGGAGACTTGCTAAGTAGTAGTTAGAGCAGAAGTATCCCTCCCAGTGGTGAGTGCATATTTATGAAGTACAGTAGGCCACCTTTTATACAAGGCTGCTGCAGGCAGATTTTCAAAACCTAATTGCTTGAAATTGGACTGGATCCTTGTCACACAGCTGAGGAGTTTGGCTTCAGTAAAGAGGTTTAAAACTCTTGTTACTGGAAGATACTAGCGAATACAAAACTTTTCCTTCAGATATTGTTTAGTGCAGTATACTAACTTCTTGCTCTGTTGCCCTATCACACAACTAGATGATTGTTGTTTTCCTCGTTAAAGCAAAACGGTGGAAACCAGCGAGCTGTGCTGTAACAGATAATCATAACACCCTAAATGATCTCACAAGTAGTGTGTGGAAGCATTTTGGATTAAATACTACAGATAGAATAAATGTTTGAATCTGAATACATTTCATGTTAGTTCTACTTTATTCTAACTAGATATTTTGAAAAACTGGCAGCCCTACTGAGCAAACAGTTAACACCTTTACAAACGAAAACTACAAAATGACAAGACGACTGACTTTATACTGAATATAAAGAAAGTGAGCACTATGTGTTGGCCGACTGTACCTGGAGGTGGCAGCTTGTCTGACAGTAGATGCAGTCCTTCTGCAGCTTCCTCTAAAAGCCTGTTCAATAAAGACATTCAGATTAGTTAAACCAGACTTGGAGGACCATACTGTAACACTTGAGATACATAAATAACTATTTCTTAATGTAATCTTTGTAACCATTTTTTTTCCCTTTCTACCTGTTCATTAGCAAATTATCTCCTGGTTCGACTGTCTAAATAATGTAAGATAAAATATAGAATTGTTTCCTTAAATTAACTCATTAGAGATGTAAATTCAGTACAATCAACGTCAAGTTTAATATGTTCAAATAATATCAACTCACATACTCATATACACATATCAGGAACATTCAAAAACATTCATACTTATTTTAAGAGCATAAAACATCATCTGTCGCTCACTCTGTCAGTGCTGGCTGGTCACCATCCTGATTACTCAAAGAACTGAGACATGACTCCACAGCAGTGGACTTCTCCTCCTCACTGTCTGTTTTCTGATGGCACGTCCCAAGCTCTTCCCAGTCTGAGCTGCAAAACTACAAAACAGGAAATATAGATTTAAGTAGAAAATGACCTAATTCCAGTCCTTTTTCTTTATCACTGTATAAACAGTTAAAATGGTTAAAAACCCTAAAACCATTGCTCCTTAAATGTAATATCCCCTTCTTAGTTGGAGTGGATTAAATAGGAAAAAACAGAACAATAGTGCAGTAGGTTTTATATCATGGTGACACCCTGTATTGATACTTGATTTGTCACTGTTTGAGGACAAAGATTAATAAACAATACTGCTTTTGAGTGTTAAAATTAAAGTACTGAAGATACTAACCCAACACCAGGGACATGCACAGACATTTTTGGGTGTAGGAGCTCAAATAATAAATAAAAAAAGGGGGTCACTCACCAACCTATAATCCTCTATTCCTCTATCCCCCCCCCCATGTTGCCACACCACCATTCATAATGACACTATGGAGCAGCCAATTGAATAACAACAATAATAATAATACAATTAGCATCGGCTAAGCAGGCAATTGTTGAGTCTGGGGCAAAAGGGCAGGTGGTCAATCTGTGCACATGCCAGCCCAACACCACAGCAGCAGCAACGAAAGCAACGGTAACAGAATGTATGTACACAGCATTTTATCTCTTTCTATAAACTTGATAGGGTGAGTAAAAGGCCAGCACTTCTCCACATTCACCTTCTGTTCTACCTTTCCAGAAGCCACTTTAGGATTGTATCCTACCAAAAAGGTTGTGTTGCGGTTGGTTACCCTACCATATTCTAAAAGTCTTGCAGTGAGGAGATTCATAAGGTTTATCTACATATAATCCTCAACTTTTCATGACATGAGTTCTCCAAATGATCAGGTACAGGTACCAAACATTGAAGCTTGAACAGCATTTTCTGATCTATGGACAGAGGCATATAACATAACATAAACCATATCTATGGCTAAACTGTCTTAACTCGTCCAAATGTCTCACCTGCGTTACTCCTTGGCACGCCTGAAGAGCAAAGTACCACCTCTGAACTGATGGGCTGCCACTGAGAGAGCAAGCTGGGAAAACATGCAGAGGGAAAGAGGTGAGGAAAATAGTGAAATAATGACTGCTTGTATTTTATTAGGGTAAAGATACGCCCATAGTGGCAAAGCTGTAAACTGTATGTACCTGGAAACACAGAGATCCCTCTCACTGATTCCTGAGTTGAGATGTCCACAAGTCTGTCATGTATCTGCTTCACTGGCTCCAAACCTGTGAACAATAACAGCAGCTGTCATATAAATAGCTCCTCCTGTGTTAGCATGGATTAGCTCATCATCAGATTAGATACTGAACTATCAGGGGAAAGCACAGTATACTGCTTTAAACGTTTAACAAATCAAACACCGTGTTTTAATGTTACTGTAACTTCGGTTAGTTAACTAAATTGTTTTACGAGCCGACTATATGTGACTTTAAACAAACTTATCTGAACAAAGGTTAACAATGTAACTAAATGTTGCTGCTACATAAGACAAACCTTACAGATAAAGAGATATATAGCGTCAACCTATACGTGAATGTGAATAATATAGCTTTTTAAACTACTAGCTAATGTTAGCAGAATAAATAGCCACAACTTACATTTATAATCCTCCGCCAGGTTGTCATCAGTTTGACAAAAGGATATAACCAACACGTACCGGTCCATGTTGTGTAAACATCAATAAACTCACGGTTATTGTTTGTTTGGAGTTAAATATCGGTCAACTGTTTCAACAACAATCTTTCGCGCACTGTCAAATTTCCCACCAGTTCATCTTCTTCTGTATTCTGTATAATGAGTCGGCTGCAGACCTCAAAGCCCGCCACCGCCACCGCCACCTGCTGGACTGAGACTGAACTACCACATAGATCTGATACTGCTGCTCAAATATCAGTCTGCCTCTGATTGCAATTGCACGGTGATACAAACATCAAAATCAATGCCTTTATATAATTTTATTGACTCTACGTCAGGATGTGTCTCTATTTTCCCTCCCATACAATACACAACTGAATCATGTTTTATCTACCATAGGGGAATCCAAGAGGGCACTTTTGCATTTTATATATTGCTGGATGTTTATCAGTCTACCCTGAGAAGACTTCTTCTTCTCTTTTCCAGACTTTTGCAGTGTCTATAAAGTGTATGTTCATATTGTATCAACTATGTTGTGTGCCATACAGCACATTGTGATGTCTGTTTCCAAGCTACAGACAAACCACCATATTGAGATCTCAGTGCAAGGTTGCCCCCTGAAGAGCCATGTCTTTTCCTCGTTAATTTTGATAAAAATGTTCACCACTTTCTACTAAAGAACTAAATTTACTTGCAGAAAAATCTTCTGAGATACTTTGGTGTTGCATTATCACATTATATTGTCACATATGTCAAAAGTAGTCATAATGTATCATTTGAAAACTGTATGAAACTTTGGATAACAAAAAAGTTGGAGTTTCATGACAAAACATACTGAGCAAGAACTGAACTCAAATCAATAACTTTGAGATTAATTTTTTAGAAAATTCCAGCACTTCATTGCATCAAGCAGTGCAGGACAGGGGTTTTATTTAAATATACTTTGTAAGTACAAAAATCACATAATCACACAACCAAATATTGCACTCTGTTCTCATAATTACTACATGACTGAAAAAATAAACGTGATTAAGGAAATTCTTCATGATCAAAGAGAAACATTCACTAACTCCTGTTTTTTGTCCTATGTTGAAATGATTACTGATTACTAGTTGATTTCTACAGTGTGTTCCTGGACGTAGACGATATAGTGGTGAGTGTTTTCTCCCTGAGTGAGGACTGTCAGAGCTTCCAGGCCGTGTGCATCCTCAACCACCATCACCTGGTCACCAGTTAGACCCCCCTCTGCGTCCACCACCATCAGCTGGTTGCTGCAGTTACCGACTTCCTGCTCATCAGCCACCTGCAGCTTCAGCCACAAATTCAACGTCAATATTTTGTTGCAACCACTCATGATTTCCTGAATAAGTGACGTGATGTTGATTACCTGTTGTACGACGGTAACCGTGCCTGGAGCCATGGCGACCATGGAGGTGACAGCGTCATGAGTCTCTGAACTGAATTCAGTGATCTGCTGGATATTAACTGAACACAAAAGACATACCTTTATTGTAATGTGTTTCGTAGTACACATGCTACAGCATACAAATAGCAAACATAAGTTGGAATGGCCATGAGCAGCAATTCCCCCAATTATCTGTCGCTGTTGTTACCGTTGTCCTGCAGGGCTGTTACAGGTGCTTCTGTCAGCTGCTCCACATCCTCCACAGGAACATATTGGGCCTCTACTGCCTCCCCCACCTGGATATTTATACATAATTCAGATATTTTATTGTCCTAAAAATACTGGTTTTGAAAAATAAAAATGATTGATACTTTTAATTGATATTTTTTTCAGTTTTTAAGTTCCTAAATCAGAAATATATGTTTTAATGAAAAGAGACTGGGACAGAAACATGACAAATAATAATTTATAGCCATGCTCTGTGTGCTTTGAGCTTAATTCTAATGTTTGCATGCTGACACGCTCACTACGATAATGCACATTCACACACTGAAGGTGCAGCATCAGCAGCAATTTGGGGTTCAGTGTCTTGCTCAAGGACACTTGAACCCCCAAACTTCTGATAAGTGGACACTCTACCTCCTGAGCCACAGCCACCTTTAAGCATGCCATCATTTGCTAATTAGCACTAAACAGAAAGTACAGCTGAGGCTGATGGGAATGTCCTTAGTTTTGGTCATAAATAAAGTCAAGATCCGGACAAAATGAAATTGCAGGGTGTCACCGAAGTGATACAATTCCTCCTCTCGGGACCATGAATATCTTTACCAAATTTTGTGCCAATCCATCTACCAAATGAAATATTTCATGGAATAAGTGAAAACTTTGACGCGATGGTGGTGCTACAGGGGAAAGTCAGGGGATCACCAAAGTCATCTTAATTTATCCTCTGGGGACAAAGAAATATCTCTACACAATTTCATGGCAATCCATCCAGTACTCTGACAGACCGACACTGCTGTCCCTACAGCCAGATTGTTAGCATGGCTAAAAATAACCCCCAATGTTTCTCACTGTATCTAGTCTGTGTATGTGTATACGGTTTACCTCCCAGGTGCCTTCCACCACTTTCAGGCTGTGTTTGCTCTTCAGGTGGCGGTTCAGCTCCCACTTGGTCCCATAAACAAACTCACACTCAGGACACTTCATACCACCTAAACACAGACACACACAAAAGCTGTCAGGTTATCCTGTACACACCTTTTGTTCTGTACAAACTCCACATGTCTAATTTTGACAGTAACTTCAATAAAACATGTGATTAATGGGAGTCACTTTATACAAACTGAGCACTGTATGTATCATACTGCTATTACAGAAATGTCAAGTACAGTAACTTAAAAGAACATGACAGGTCTGGACGTGGCAGTACGAGAGCAGCAGAGAACAGACCTTGCAGTTTCAGAGCATCAGGGTTAGGCAGGCCATGTCCGGCATTCTGATATTTCTGATCTGGGTGTTTCATGTTGTAGTGTCGCTTCAGTGGACCAGCAATGTTACAGGAGTAGTGGCAGTGGGCACAGCGAAATGGCTACAAAGATAAACAAACACACACATACAAGTCAATGCAAATTGAATCTTTGTAAGACAAGACTGCATTTGAAACATTGATTGATTTTTCTAGAAAACCTGTCAATCATTTTATCACAAAATTGACAACGATAATGGTTGTCTTTATGGTTTTGGTCGAGAAAGGGGTAATACAAAAGCAAATGGGAGTGATAGTTGTCTAGATGTTAATATCCGGAACAATGCACACAGTAAGCCATCCATCATGCATAGACAATATGGAAAAATAAAATACTACAGAGTAAAATAATTACAGAATAACTTTTAATATTCCCAAACATTTATTAGGCAATTTCTTCCTCAAACGGAGGCTTTGTGTGTATTCTGACCTTAAACTCAGCGTGTTGCTCCATGTGTCTGAGCAAGGAAGGTTTAGACACCGAGGTAAAGGCACACTCGGAACACTGAAAACGTTTTCCTGAACAAACACAATATAACAGGTCTTTATCATGGCATTGCACATTTCTCTCAGCACTCTTGTGACATATAGTACGTAATATGATACAATGTCATAATATGGAGAGCAATAAATATACAAATAATGTAAATAACCAGCAAATTAGTCACAACACTGGCATTAAAAGAAACATAATCAGTGACAGAGCAGAAGAGCAGAGTGTACGAACCTTCATTGGTGTGGCTCAGTCTGTGGCTTTTCAGCGTAACCTTAGATTTGAACTTTTTACCACACAGATCGCAGAGGTGACGTCTCTCTGTGTTGTGTCGGTTCATATGAGTCTTCAGGTTACTCCTGCTGCGGCCAGCATAGTCACACACACTGCAGACGTATGGCTTCAAACCTGCACACATGGACACGCAAACACATGCAAACACACACTTAAAAAGATCACCAGCAACAGCTGAAAAAAGTTAGAGTAAGAGATATAAAAGTGCGAAGAAATAAGATGGTATTTGATGAGAAGTTGCTCATTTGTCACCTCAGTATCATGCACTCTGTTGAATGCAGGTACTTGAGGTAGTATTGCCCAAAATAAGAAAACAAACCTATTGATAATTAAACATTTAGTTTAGAATTTATCTTTAGTATAATGAAATTATAACAAAAATGCAGTAAAATAACTATAATTAAGAAGGTTTTGAGTCCACTACCTTGTGAGTGATATGTACCTACGTGGGCTTTTTAGTTGTATGGGTGCAACCAGCAGTGAACTGGACTGAAAATATTAAGTGACAAGGTGGACAAGTAGTAGAAAGCACCAAGTAAACAGCCAGATAAACCTGCTGGAAAATACAGTAAGTCCAATGCAATGCAATGGATTGCAGGGTGTTTTGGTAAACTGGCTGCATTCACGGAGACCTTCATCAACACCTGTACTGGATTCATGTCTGCCAGCTACCTCAGCCTCAGGACAGATGTAACTTCAAGATAAACAGCTTATCAAGGTAAGCAAATGCTAATGCAGGGACCGAGGAAGGGGAGTAGAACTAGCAATCCATTTCCTCAAAAAAAAAAAACATCTGCCAATCTTCATTGCCAGATTTTACATTTTTTTCATCTTTGAGACGATGCCAGCAGCACAAACACTGATGATTTTGTTTGTTTGAGTTCTCATCATTTCTCAAGTAACTTGACCAACTGGCCAATTTCCTACAGTGTGTTTTCAGTCTATTCCATCTTCCTGGAGGGCAGCCAGGAGGAGGAGAGACAGATGGAAGCTCAGATCACACAGTAATCAAGCAGTAAAACACTGTGAATGGACACTGACGGGCCCAGATGTGTTTCCACACACTCAAGTGTTGTGCGTACGTGTTTGTCTGTGTTAAAGATATATCAGGAATTTCACACCTTGGTGGGCCCAGATGTGCCGCTGAAAGTCACTGCTGTTCTTAAGGAAGTAGGAGTCGCAGTAGGGGCACTTCTCTGCACGCTGCACCATCAGTCCTTTACCATGCTGAGGTAGTGCGTCTGTCCAGCACATACATGCAAATACACAAAATGAAATTGCAACCTTGTAAATTTACAAGAAGAAAACCATAAGAATGCTTTCAAAACAAAAACAATTGAATCTTTAGTCCAACATTTATAAATAAAAAGTTGCCTGGACATAATATAATATACATATATAATATACAACATTGCCTTCTACAGTATATGATCACAATGAGACGCCTAAAATCATAAATAGAGGAGGTCATACTGTAAAATTAGGTACTACTGAGCAAAGGTTTCAGCCCAGAGTGAGATGCTCACACTGATTTAAAGGACCGGTTTGTATTTGTGTTTAGAGAGCAAACATGAACAGGTTGTGTGTGTGTTTTGTCTGTGTGTGTAGATATATGTGTGTGTTCTTTACCAGGGTGGGATGTTTTGATGTGGTGTTTCAGTCTGTGCTCTGGATAGCTGTGCTGGCAGACAGGACAAGTCACACTCTTCCCCTGCAAACAACAGCAAGACACAGACATAAAGACATCTGACAGACCTCACCAAGAGAAATCAAGAGTCAGTGTTTTGAAGGAGTTACTGTTCCAGTAGACTGAAGGCTGGTTACCTGTTCTTGATGCGTCCTCAAATGGGCTTGAAGCTTGTATTTGTCTGGTGTTGTGTATTTACAGTCAGTATTCGAACAAGACAGCAGCAAGCCGCTGTGCTTCTGGATCTGGTGCCGCTTTAAAGAGCTTTTGGTGATGGACGAGTAGCTACACTTTGAACAGTAATGCGAGTGCTCCTTGGTGTGTGTGCGTACGTGGACGTTATAGTGGACTTTGTACCAGAACAGTTTACCTGTGCAGCAGAAAAAAAAAAATTTAACACTTAAGCCAGATAGAGGAAAAGGCTAAGTAATAAATAATAATATGTACTATAAAGTCAGGGGGGTTTCATCATCTTACCACAGTATTGACATTCCAGGTCTCCATAAATTTTCCTGAGCCGTTGGAAAGACTCCATATTAAATCGAGTCTTCGGAAGAGATGACAACACCTGCTGGAATGCACTCTGATGGAAAACCTCCGACACCTATCAGCAGAAAAACGAAGAACAAGTCAGTTACTTAGTCACAGTCTTTATTAAATGCAGTCATTGCTTATCAGCTTCCTTTCTATATATAAATTAACTGCCAAACTTATCAATTATGAAAATAATTGTTAGTTGCAGCACTAGCTGACATTATTGTCCTTCTCTAGTACCTGTAATAAATTTACCCTCTCTGAAGGTGGAGTTTGTCCATCTTCCCCTGGAGGTGCTGATGACAAATTTGTGTGTACACTTAAATCACACAAGTTCGTATTTCCCGATGGCAAAGATGTGCGTGTGTTTTTGTTCTCATCAGCCAGGTGTGTGTTTTGTTGCGTCCCGTCAACCAGGACAGGGGGTTGAATGCTCTGTAGTGATATAACAGTCTGTGTATTGTCTTCAGCTGCAGGGGTGCATGAGTCCAGTGTGTTGTCCTGTGACTTTTCCCGAGTTGTAACTTCATCCCGTCTGTCAGTGGGAGTTGTGGTCTCCACAGAAATCGCTTGATGGAGCTCTGCTTGGGAACCTTGCTTTGCACCTCCATTTTCTAATTCTCCTTCTTTCCCTCCCTCTCCTACTATCACTTGCACTTCTTCACCCTGTGATGTAGCTCGTTCTCCCTCCCTCTCTTGCTCCCTATTTTCATTCGCTGCTACTTCCAGCTGCTCCCCTTCCCCTCCTACACCATTTCTTCCACCCTCCTCTCTCGTCCTCTCATTTTCACCCTCCTGCTCTATCCTGCGCGCTTCCTTCATCCTTTCCTCCATATCTTCCCCCTCCTCATCCCCCCACATGCCTCCTCCAGGCTGCACCAGGTAGTAGCTGTTGTTGATACAGTCAGTGAAGCCCTGCTCCTGGTCCAGCTCAGCGTGAGACTCTTTCAGGTGACTCTTCAGTCTCTGAGAGCTGACAAACTTCCCGTCACACACGCAGCACACGTATAGGAAGAGGTGCTTCCTGATGTGAGCAGCGAGGGCAGCCATCTTGGTTGTAGCATGGTCACAGAGGAGACAGGCGAAGGGGCGCTGGGGTCCGTGGACCAACAGGTGGCGCTCCCGCTCGAGGAGGTTTTTAAAGCGTCGGTTGCAGGTGGGACAGTGGTAGAGGAGCTGCCTGAGGCCCTGACGAGTCTTTAACCTGGGCGAGATAAGCAGATCGGAAGAGCAGGTGTGTTGGATGGTTGTTAGAGTTAAACAGGTAAATAGTAAAGTAAAATAATGTAGAAAATGTGGTTCAAACCTGAGTTGTTGGTAAGTCTGGTGGACAGCAGGGTCTTTCAGGTTGTGTCGTTTCTCCATGTGTTTCAGCAAGTTCTTCACATCTGAGTATTTTTTCTCACAGAAGCTGCAGTGCTGCTTCACCTTTAAATGGACTCGCTCTATGTGGACCTACGTGACCAGAAACACAGAATTACACAGTTACTGTTAAATTGATCCAATCTATCTGGATGTGAAAACCTGAATCCAAACTCCCTCTCAAGGTGGACCATATACAGCTACAACCCAAACACAGAATCACTTGCATTAAAATACATCCATTGACCGTCACAATGAGAGTTATCTGAAAGGCCTGTGGACTGCTGTATTGCTTTATGAAGATCAGTCATAACATAAATGAAAAAAACAACCTGACACTGATAAAAGCAGTTCAATAACAGTAATAAATAAATAAGAACACCTTGAGGTGTCCTGGGCTGAGGCAGTTGAAAGGACAGTGCTGACAGCTGAACTTCTCTCCTGTGTGCTTCCTCAGGTGAACGTTTAGGTTGGCTTTGAAGGAAAAGTCAAGGAGGTAAGTAGGTTAGTAAGATCATATTAGTCATTAGCAGTAATTGCAAAAAGGTACTTAATAGTATATTTAAAGTAGCAGTTAAGACAAAAGATCTTTTCAGCCCCCTACCACCCATGAACCTAAAGCAACACATTGAAACTGCACAAAGTTTTACAAATAAAAACTCCCATCAAACTACCATCAGAGTAATTTGAAACATGTTGTAATTACATAATAAAATCCTACAAATAGGAGTATGTGGTAGTTAAGAAGCATACCATAAAGCATAAACTGGAAATCTTTATACCCATTTCCTTCTCCCCGTGTGTCCTGTCAGCACCTTAAACCTTATATCCTACTAATTGTAACTTTAACAATTTGATTCAGTCTCACAGTTTCTCATGTGTGACGTTGAGCCTGGGTTTACCTTTGATCGATGATGCGTATTCACAGTGTGGACACTGGAACGGTTTCTCCTGGGTGTGTGTTCTTAGGTGGGCGACCAGTGAGTGTCTGAATTTAAAGATCTTATTACAGAACTCACAGGCAAAGATCTTCAACTGGCTCTGAAGTAAACTGGGAGACAGACAGAGACAATATTACATTTACCAGTGGACCAATATCATTGCAGTTGCTATTGTGGCAGTGATGACTGTTGTTAAAGTTGCTAATATAATATGAACTACAAACTTTGACTTGCTCTAGGGTGCTCACATAACAACATTACCAATAAGCCAATAAACAAAATCATTTCTGAGTCCTCAAAAAACAAAGCCAAACATCTCTTTTAGAACCAGATTAGAACCAGATTTATTTACAGGAGCATTCAGCTATACTTTACCTCCAAAGCTATGACTGCTATAAAATAAAATCAATGCTAATACAGTTAATAAAACAATATTCATACAGTACTTGGTAGCATCTTGCTTTATAGAATATTCTTGGAAGCCTCTGTTGGCTGCTGCTGTTGTTGTGGAGATCAGGTCAGAACTAGGGGTAGAAAGCAAAGAGAGCAGACTGCTGAAAGCACAAACTAGCAGGTCCTTTACAACATTTTTTATGCATGCATTGTCAGATTTTCTATATCAAGCTTTCTGACAATTCGTTAATATGACCATCAATTGTTTTAATTTCTAAGAATCATAGGAGATGATATTACCTTGGCTCCTGATCCATCTTAGGGTTACCTTCGCAGGCTGTGGCGTCACTTGCAAGGTCTTTTGACTGACTCTGGAAGACTGCAGACTGCAAAAGAAATTTGGTTGAAATGCCAAAATCTTATAACAATGTATATTTAAAAAATAAATGTTTTTTATCTTGGTTTTGAGTTGATGAGTAAATAATACAGTGGTCTGTGGGACCATGGCACAGCCGGCTGTTGACAGTTCTAATAAAGATTAACCCTAACCCTTTGGTAGAAAGTAGTTTTTATATAAACCACTCACAAAAAGGTCTTTGAACTAGTGTTAACAGTGTTTATGAGAAAGAGATGTTGCTGATAAATGTAATTTTACACTTTTGTAAGCGTCGCAAATAAAATTATATACACCATTATTATATTGGGTCGGAGGAATATATCTAAAAAATATGGCAAAAGCTGTCTGCTAGACTGGATGCTAGTAGAGGAAAGTGGTCAAATATATCTGCATATATAACATTTCGGTGAATCTGCCTTTTAATGTTCCTGTTTATTCTTCTGCTTACCTGAAGTTGAGTTTGGATGGCTGCAGACTCTGTTTCTGCTGAATTGTCTTCTACTGGAACAATTTTAGAAACACCTGTTGAATTAAAGGTAACACAGCTTACTTATAAATATGTTTTCTACAGCAAGCAAGTCAGTTGTTAGCCTAAATGTAAAAACTAGCACAAAAACAAGCTCCCTTTAAGACTAACCTGGAAGTGTTTTATCTTCTGTCAGAACAACACTGATGACAGACTTTTTGTTTCCTGTGGCTAGTCCTTCTTTGGAGATGCGGCTTCGGTTGGTTCTCTGGGTTCTTGAGCTGCCAACGTCTACGAGTAGAGAACAAGAAAAAGTTATAAAACTAAACTTAAAGCCTACTTCAAAAAATCCAGGAATGCTCTGATGCTGTAGAGTAACACTGATGAGAATTCATTTGAAGAAACCATGTCCTGATGTTTAAACTTACCCTTTTCTCTCGCAAACCCTGGTCTTGTGGAGTTTTGCTGCTTCTGATTTGGATCTGTTCCCTCAGAATCCAAACTCCCCGAACCCTCAACTCCTGCTCCATCAGAATCACGTGATTAAATATACACCTTAAAATAAATTATATTCTATGTGTAGTTAACAGAAAGGTATCTATAATTATGATTAGGATAATTCCCAACATGCTCCCTCAGGTCACCACAACTTTGAATGCCTCTTTGGTTTTTTGGTTCGTTTCACTCCTCACCATTCTCCTCTTCGTCCTCCTCCTGTTCCTCTTGTCTTAGGCAGATGTGTTTGAGGATCTGTCGTCTGTTTCTGAACGTGCGATGACAGTCTCGACATTCCAGCCCCAACATCTCATCATGGCTTTCTCCTGGAAGAAGGAAACAAAAAAGAGTCAGACTGCAGAATGAAGGAAACACTATTTGTATAGAATATTAAACAATAATCACTAAGAAAAACTAATTTACTTTTTAAAAAATAACACTCTAAGCTTAAAGGTTCAGTGTGTAGGATTTAGTGGCATCTAGTGATGCAGTTGCAGATCGCAACTCCCTTGCTCCACCCCTCCCTTCCAAGCGCAAAAGAGAGACTATGGTGGCCGCAGAATGTGAACACCCCTAACTACAGCAAGTGTTTGGTTGGTACATTCCGGGCTACTGTAGAAATATGGCAGTTCAACATGTTGCCTCCATGGAAGGCAACCCACAGTGTCTGTAGATGTAAAAGGCTAATTTTCAGGCAACAAAACCGAACAATTCCTACATTCAAGTAATTATACATTACTGATTACATAGTTATGCATATTATTTTCTAGTTCTGGCAATCAATTCTCCTAAATGTTACACACTGGACTTTTAAATGTCTACATAGCAATTCAGGAACCGTTAAGAAAAATTATATTAATAATTTTTGGTGTCATTGGTAAGCTACCTTCTATTGTGCTACATTGTGTATCTCCCTCCTCCATATTCCCTTCTTCTTCTCTTTGAACATTATCCTTCGGAGAATGGGCGGAGCCAGCCTTGCCCTCTGTCAAATTGGTGCGCATCTTCTTCGTAGAGCCTTTCGGACGGCCTCGTTTTCGCTTCACCGGGCTCTCTGTGGGCCAACACGACAGCAGAACAGATAAGAACACTGAGGGTTTTTCTATATTTTTATTTAGTGAATAAATACCCCTAAGAGATCAAAATCAACAATATAAGCGTATCCTGCAAACAATTCTTTTTCAGCCAAAACTTGAAATTCTGTAGCTTTTGCCTTGTGAACCCAAAATACAATGAAAAACCGATTGAAAAAAGCATTTTAATCATCTTGTAAACAATGAAATCCCAATGCCAATACATTCCCAAATGAGACAAGCTAACCTGACCTGCCAGTGTCTCCACAGGCTCTCCTACAAGGGGCTGCAGTGCAATGATGATGTCATCAGGAGGATCCTGCTGGGGGTGCAGCTGGGAGCAATGGGCCAGCAGCTGAGAGCGACTGGGAGAGAAGAGGTTGCACAGCCGACACATAAACACAGAACCGGCTGGAGAAACGGGGAGAAGAACGGTGGCAGGTCAGGAGGCAGAGAGAGGGAAACAAACAGAGTCATTTAAAAGAAAGATTGAGAGAGGTAAATGTCTTTTGCCTGCTTCAACACCCTATTTCCTCATCCTGACAGCCCAACCCTTCATCCATCTGCAGCATCATTATGGAAACCGGTCTTTATTTAGCATGACAGGACTTATTTAACCTAAGGTGCCAAACAGACAAACAATGAAATCTGCTTCAATAGTGTCACGACAATACAATCTTAGTGAAGTGTGAAGAAAGTGGCTGCAAACAAAGGAAGACAATGACAATTTTGCTGAAAGTGTTACCTACAACATATTGGATTATGTCATTTTCAGTCAATTTTGAAAATCATTTTTGTCCTTTTTCTTTGTAAACGCACCAGTAATTAAAAGTAGGGGGGGTACGGTCAATGGAAGTGAAGGACTGTGCAACATTTTGCTGCTTGTATGCTGTTAAATGATGATGGAAGGTGACATACAGTATGTTTGCTGGGTTATTGATAATAAAAGATTCCCTAAAACTCTCAAGTTTCAACCAGTAATTTGGTTTCTATTGTTTCACAATCCACCTAGAACAGAAGAAGGCCCATTACATTACAGTCATCACAGTTCAGGCTCATTAAAATATAATAGTAGCCTAATAGTATTATTCACCACTGCTCCTATTAGCCAGCAGTCTTGTTCACACCCATTCTCTTGATAGATAACACAGAAAGGCATTTAACAGTGAAGCTGGTTGGATACTTTATCAAAACCTTTTGTGGATGTAATTTATATGGATGACTGATTAATAACACAGGATACAATTTCAGTCCATCCACATTTATCTTATGGGGAAGAGCCAATGAAAATATGAGCTGCTCTTCATTTTGAGTGATTGTTGGTGCATTTCCTTTTTAGAGGAAGCTAATAATCTGTCTTTGTGCACATTATTTGATGCCATTATTCATCACTGAGCCAAGTCGAGCCAAGTCAAGCCTACAGACACAACCTACAAACGGTACTTGTTCCTTTATTGCAAAACAAAAAGTCTGTCTACAGCGTGGATACCGTTTTTAAAAACTCACTGAAAGTCAGTGCTGGCACACGTTTTCAACTAACCTAAACACGTTTGTTTTGTTTGTTTGTTTGTTTGTTTTGATTTGGCCCAAACTCAAACTAACTAAACATGAAGACCCGACAAACATATTCGAGTTGAAGCTAGCCAAAAATTCTTACCTGCTTTTTGTCCGTCCATGTCATCCATATAAACAACAAAAGAATACTAATTTATCGATGGGTTTGAGGCGTCATATCACTAAATATAATCCCTGAAATTTGGATTTAGAGATTAGTTTTACAGTACATACGCAGAACTTTCTGTCGAATCTGCCACACAAGTCTGTCCAACCAGCGGAAGTGGACAGGAACCAGTGATGCTCTAGCGGGCAGAGTAGCGCCCCCTGTGGCTGGAGGACTGTATTGCGGCTGATAAGGGAACTACAGCTTACTTCTTTCAGTTTTTCTCAAGGAAACACATTTTGGTCAAGGATTTGTTTCACTTACATCTTTAATTTGTTGTTCATTGTGTCAACAGGCCTCAGCACTGTTAATGTAGACTTTAAGTCGCCTACAAAGTTGAGTGAATATAAGAAATGCGGTGTGTCTCATGGAGTAATACTTGTTCTGATGTAACAGTTACGCTGTGGTGCAACAAATACAGGCTTTGTGAAACACATTTTTTTATTTAAAATGTAAAAATATCATAAAAAATGACTGTTGACAGGAGAACAGCTACATTTTGCTACAGAATGATTTCTGTTACTAAATCAACATTTATTTGACTGATTTGGAACATATAATACTTTAATAAAAATAGAGGTAGTCTAAAGAATAAACCAGACAGAGGTTTATGTTGAAGATTTCAGACAGAATAGTTCCTACTATAATTTACCTTGAGTGCCATCAAAACATTCCTTGTACAAACAAATTTGAGATAGCTTGAGTTTGAGTTTTTTTTCCTGTTTTCAGGCTAACTAATCACATTTCTTTCACATTTGCAAAAAGCTGAGATTGTTTAGGTGGGAAAGTATCCTTCATATCATCTGTTCATACCATATGCTTTCTGATTGAAGGAGTTGGTGTTATATGCCACAGTGAATTATTTATCAGCAAGCTCATATACTGTTACGCCCCTGTCTAGGGGGAAGGAGCGCCACATAAATGTGTGAAGACAAATGAACCAATAATCCTACCCCGATTCCCAAACGAACAACTAACACAGTGTTAACAATCAAGTGATGTGATTTATTTACAAACAGGTGGAACAAAGTGCAACAAAGACTAAACAACAAACTTCAGGGTGAACCAAGGCCAAAACAACAAACAAAACAGGACTAACTTCCTTAAACAAAAATCCTTACTAATCCCTATGCAATATAAATAAAATACAGTTACTAAACCTAACTCCCTATCCTAATGAAAAACAGGAGAAAATTAGTACAAAGAAAATGGCAGCTCACCCTTACGATACTCACTGAACACAATCATACAAAAACACTATCTACTAAGATCGTAACAATTCACGCTATCGCAGAAACACACACTCTACAACCGAGGACAGAAGGATGCTGCTGCTGAAGGTTCTGTCGAAGAGCTTCGGTGTGGTGCGGCGTTTTGAATCCCCGGCGGATGTTGCGGCTCCCTGGGAGAACCAACCAGCAGGCGACACTCCACCAGCCGAGCCCACGGCATGGACCAGTCAGCGCTGACCTACGGGTTGCCGTCAAAGATCTTACAATCGACAGGCTGCACACTCCTGCAGAGGAACAGGGACAAAAACACCAACACACACCACAGACGAACCCAATACCATGACATAATACTAATAATACGGCCAGGGCCGTAACACCCCCCTTCCTAAAAATCAACATTTCCCCTAAAATTTTTGACCCTTAAGGTTAGGAAGGGACACGGGAGAGGGCATCCGCCAACACATTTTCTGTGCCTTTCTTGTGGCGAATCTCCAAATTAAAGTCCTGCACGAGCAGTGACCATCTCATGAGTCTCTGGTTGGAGTTTTGCATTTGGGACAGAAACACAAGAGGATTGTGGTCAGTGTATACAACAACAGGAAGCGAGCTTGACCCGATATATACCTCAAAATGCTGCAGTGCAAGTAGCAGGGAAAGAGCTTCCTTCTCAATGGTGCTGTATTTAGTTTGGTGCTTACTGAATTTTTTCGAGAAGTAGCAAGTCGGGTGATCAATACCTTGCTCATCCTCCTGCAACAATACCGCACCAGCTCCGCGGTCACTGGCATCCACCTCCAGCTTGAAGGGACGCGCGAAGTCAGGAGCTGCAAGGACAGGTGTGCTGCAGAGGAGAGCTTTAGCAGACTCGAAGGCATGTTGACATTCTAGTGACCAGACAAATGGTTTAGTGACACTCGTCAAACTAGTGAGGGGAGCAACGACGTCTGCAAAATTTCTGCAGAATCCACGATAGTAGCCAGCCATTCCTAAGAAACGGCGAAGCTCACGTCTGGTTTGGGGCGCGGTGAAATCTAGGATGGCCTGGATTTTTGCAGTTAGTGGGCGCACCTGGCCTTGGCCCACCTGTTTTCCTAGGTAAGTCACAGTGGCTTTACCGAAGTCACATTTTGCCAGGTTCAAAGTGAGGGAGGCTTTCTTTAACCTCTCGAAAATGATGCTCAGGGTTTTGATGTGTGCCGTCCAAGTGTTTGAGTATGCCACAATGTCATCGAGGTAAACTTCACAGTTTTGTACACCAACCAGGACTATGTGCATGAGACGTTGGAATGTGGCAGGTGCGTTTCGGAGACCAAATGGCATAACGGTATACTGCAGGAAATGGTCGGGCGTAACGAAAGCGGAGATTTCAGAGGCACGCGGAGTTAAAGGGACTTGCCAATAGCCCTTTAATAGATCCAATTTGGTTACAAATTGTGCCGAACCCACCCTGTCCACACAATCCTCCATTCGAGGCAGAGGATAGGAGTCAGCTTTGGTAACCCCATTTACTTTGCGAAAATCTGTGCAGAAACGTGGCGTCTTATCAGCCTTCGGCACGAGAAGACACGGAGAACTCCACGCACTGGTGCTCGGGACAGCCAAGCCGTTTTCCAGCAGGTAGTTGACCTCCTGCTGAAAAAGTGCACGTTTTGTTGGGTTAACGCGGTAAGCGTGTTGCTTAATTGGAGAATGGTCACCTACATCAATCTCATGGGAGAGAACAGTGGTGCGGGACGGAGTGTCTGAGAACAGAGGGAGATTATTGCCAATCAGCTGACGGATATCTTTCTGAGCAGAATCATCCAGGTGATTTAAATGTGACTTTAATTCTCTCAGAGACGCTGAGTTTTCGAGGCGAGAACAGAGCTCAACAGGATTAAAGTACAAACCATCGCTCGCCGGACAATACTGAGAGGGAGGTACCGGCGTAACGGTGGACACAGCGGACGGCGCAACAGAAAACACAACGGAGGGTGAAGGGACATCGCGACCGAAATATGGCTTCAGCATATTAATGTGGCACACACGGGACTTTCTCCTCCGATCAGGAGTACCAACAACGTAGTCAGTTTCACTTAATTTCTTTTCCACAACATACGGACCACAGAACTTTGCCTGGAGGGCAGGACCAGAGATTGGGAGCAGTGTTAAAACTTTTTCACCAACTTGGAAATTTCTCTGGACGGATTTCTGGTCGAATTTCTTTTTCATTTTTTTCTGGGAGGCAGCAAGAGCGCTGCGCGCGGTCTCACCGGCTGAGTGCAGACGTTCTCTGAAAGAGCTCACATAATCTAACACATTTTTACCCGGACTAGTAGTGGCCGACAGGTATCTCTCTCTCAGCAACCGCAGAGGACCGCGCACGGTGTGACCAAACACCAGCTCTGCAGGACTGAAACCTGTGGATTCCTGCACACTTTCTCGTGCAGCTAGGAGAAGCAGTGGTAAACCCTCATCCCACTCTTTTCCTGTTTCGAGACAGAACTTGCGCATCATGGATTTTAACGTCTGGTGGAAACGTTCGAGTGCGCCTTGTGACTGAGGATGGTATGCACTGGACTTTTGGTGTTTAATGGACAGCGACGCTATGACCTGAGCGAACACTTTGGACATGAAGTTGGAACCTTGGTCGGTCTGAATGGATTTTGGCAAGCCGAAAGTGGAGAAAAAGTTTACGAAGGCTTTAACTATAGCTTTGGCCTGGAGTGTGCGTAGCGGAATTGCTTCTGGGTAGCGTGTGGCGGCGCACATCAAGGTCAAAATGTACTGATGTCCGGATTTTGTTTTGGGAAGCGGCCCCACACAATCCAGGATTATGTGTTCGAATGGTTCTCCTATAACCGGAATTGGTTGCAGCGGAGCAGGGGGAATAACCTGATTCGGTTTACCACTAACCTGACAAGTGTGGCATGAACGGCAGTATTTTGTCACATCGGCTTTCAAACCTGGCCAAAAGAAGTACCGCAGGATGCGATGGTAAGTCTTTTTTATTCCTAAATGGCCAGCAATGTTATCATGGGCTAGATTCAATACCTGAGGGCGAAATTTCTGTGGGACTACCACTTGTTGAAAAGAATTCCAACCTAGGTCATCAGTTGAGGGAGGGTGCCAATTGCGCATTAATACACCGTCATTAAGGCTGTACACACTGAGAGTCTCGGCACGTGAGTCGGCAGCAGATAGACACGTAGCCAGAGTTGGGTCAGTCTGTTGTGCACGGATGAACTCTCCCCTGTCAACCTCGAAACACAAGTTAGCTTCAACAGGTAACAAGTTATCAAACACACTCTTTTCACATTTTTCGGCACGGGGGTCTGATTGTTCAGTACCATATTCAGAGCACATGAATGAATCAGACAAATCCACCACATCACCAAGTTTACGCTTTTGTGCGCGCGTAACAGCGCAGGCCGGAAACACAGAGGACGAGTTAACAGCAGCAGGAACAGAAACACACGAGTCGGCAACGGGATTTTCAATCACTTCGGGGGTCGGAAACACTTTTTTCCCTGCCAGATCATTTCCGAGAATCATGGCAACCCCCTGCACTGGCAAACGAGTGCGCAGTCCAAAACTCATAGGGCCTGAGATGAGCGGTGAACGCAAGAAAACTGTGTGCAACGGTGCTCTTACAGTACTCATTTTCACCCCCAACACAAGTGCATCAGAACCACAGAATGAAGCAGAGGAAAAAGGCAGCACTTTTTGCAAGATGAGAGACTGATTAGCTCCCGTATCACGCAAAATTGTGATCGGTACCTGATCTTCCTCCTTCCCTGTCAGAGAGACTGAACCTTGTAAAATGAAAGGTCTGTAACGCTCATCTACCTCCTCTTTCTCTGGTTCATTACTGACAGGAGACGGAGTGGGAACAGACTGAAAAAGTCCAACACTTTTTGGTCTTGTTTCACTTTGATTATTTTCTTTACGCTGGAGCGCAGGGCAGCTGGCTATCAGGTGTCCTGCCTCGTGGCAGTAAAAACATTCACGTTCAGAAGACGTAGGATTAGGTCTATGTGGATTTTTTGGTAAGATTTTATCTTTATTTCCAGGGTTTGCGATCGCAGTGTGCTCGCGGCGCCCTGCCGGAAAAACAACACGGTGCGTTAAAACAAACTCATCGGCGAGCACCGCAGCTTTGGACACAGAATCTGATTTCTGTTCATTTAAGTAGATGACGATTTTCTCTGGGAGACATGTTTTAAACTCTTCTAGCAAAAATAGTTCGCGGAGTTGAACAAAATTTGTGACTGTACTCGCAGTGCACCATTTATCAAAGAGAACAGTTTTCTCCCTGGCAAACTCCACATATGTTTGGTTTGGCGATTTTTCACATGTGCGAAATTTTTGGCGATATGCCTCAGGAACCAACTCATAAGCACGCAACACAGTAGCTTTCACAATTTCATAATCCAGACTTTCGTTAATAGATAAACTTGCACACACCTCCTGGGCCTTGCCCACCAGTTTGCACTGCACCAGCAAACTCCACACATCTCTGGGCCATCTCAATGTCGCAGCGATGCGCTCAAAAGCATTAAAAAAGGAATCTACTTCACTTTCCCTAAATTGTGGTACTAAGGCAATATGCCTGCTTACATCAAATTGCTCAGAGGCAGCGGTGGGAAGACGCATACTTACAGGAGTGGACGTAGTCGGAGACTGACGATCCAGCTCCAGAGCCCTTATGCGGAGGTGCATAATCTCTACCTCTTTGGACTTGGTTTCGAGTTCCACCTCTTTCATGCGGAGGGCCAACTTCAGATCCTCCGTATCTACTCCAGCCTGTAGTAGAGCTACCAGATCCATGCTATATGCCTGGGTGACAACCGGAGCCTCCGCCCCCGCACTCACCTGGCCGCCGAAGGTTTGTGTGGCTGTGGCAGCCTCCGCTCCCACTTCCTCCTCTAAAACCTCCGGTGCATGAACCCCCTCTGGCTTTGTCTGCGTAACTATGCCACCTTCCACCAGCTGTTCTGATAACCTGTGTTTAATCTCTGCCTTGCGTGCGTTCAAAGGAACAGAGATGCCAAAAAATTTAGCAATTAATCCTAATTGTGCTTTTGTGCATCGATCTAATTTTTCTAAAGTGGGATTTTGTGCAAAGTCATCTATTTGAAAATCCATTTTCCCTCCACACACAAGAAGAATCACCAAGCAAACATCAGATAGAAAAAAAAAAATATATATATATATATTTTTTTTTTTTTTTTCTCTCACCAACAAGCACAAGACAACAAAATAATTAATGAAGGACGGACGAGCCCCCCAATTTATGTTACGCCCCTGTCTAGGGGGAAGGAGCGCCACATAAATGTGTGAAGACAAATGAACCAATAATCCTACCCCGATTCCCAAACGAACAACTAACACAGTGTTAATAATCAAGTGATGTGATTTATTTACAAACAGGTGGAACAAAGTGCAACAAAGACTAAACAACAAACTTCAGGGTGAACCAAGGCCAAAACAACAAACAAAACAGGACTAACTTCCTTAAACAAAAATCCTTACTAATCCCTATGCAATATAAATAAAATACAGTTACTAAACCTAACTCCCTATCCTAATGAAAAACAGGAGAAAATTAGTACAAAGAAAATGGCAGCTCACCCTTACGATACTCACTGAACACAATCATACAAAAACACTATCTACTAAGATCGTAACAATTCACGCTATCGCAGAAACACACACTCTACAACCGAGGACAGAAGGATGCTGCTGCTGAAGGTTCTGTCGAAGAGCTTCGGTGTGGTGCGGCGTTTTGAATCCCCGGCGGATGTTGCGGCTCCCTGGGAGAACCAACCAGCAGGCGACACTCCACCAGCCGAGCCCACGGCATGGACCAGTCAGCGCTGACCTACGGGTTGCCGTCAAAGATCTTACAATCGACAGGCTGCACACTCCTGCAGAGGAACAGGGACAAAAACACCAACACACACCACAGACGAACCCAATACCATGACATAATACTAATAATACGGCCAGGGCCGTAACAATACTGACTTTACTTATACTTATAAATCAATCAATTATTATAGACCTAATAAAGCGATACACTGATCATTCATTTGGTTTTCTTAATGGCATATTAATGTCTGGTTAAACCCTGTCTCAGTAAAAGGGTTTTATGTGTTGGGTTTTGTCTACACTAGGCCCTATGTGTTTGTGATTTTATGTTTTATAATTTACAGCAGGAAAAAAAATGGACCCATATAGATGGTGCAGAACTGACAGAGAAATTGATGAACAATTATTAAGATAGGGACAATGACAAAACCTTTATTAAACAATGCAAGAATTTACAGACAGACATTTACAGCATTTGTTTTTTACATTACAAAAAAAAAGTGTCGGCTCAGGGCAGTCCCAAATAGCTAAAGACTACCAAACACATGCACTCAAACAAACACACGCACACACTTGAACAAGTAAACTGTAGCCAATTTGTTAAAAAAGGAAAAGCTCTCATGTAAAGATGGTAGATCCTCTTTCCTCTCTTCTCCATCTCTGCTGCTTCTGTACTTCAATTTTACACCCTCTGCTCTCATCACTTTCTCACAAATTGTTGTTCAGGACATCACGTTTTTCATAACACAGATGAGAAGACTATCACAAGCAGTCTGCTAATCCATAAAAAGTGCATGCTCTATCATCAGCAAAAATATCAATTTTGAATGAAAAATGAATGAAGTGTCAGAAGCAGTTGGTTACATGCATCTTTGAGGAATAACACAAATGAATGAGTAAACTACACCCCACAAGAAAATATGTATAAGATAATCTAATCTAAAAGATGTGATGATGAATAGCAATATTTGTGCTAGGATTTGACATGTTACTCCATTTATTCATATATCATTGGATGATAAGATGAAAAGTTACAGGAAAATAAAAAAATATATTTGTAATACCTGCAGTTATTAAATTTTCTTTGCACATGTGTGTAGTCAGTGAATAGGAGGAGTGGTTCACCCTGACTTCTAGGAGAATAAAAGTAAGAAATGTAATATTTACAACTAGTTTACATTTTAGAATGTGTAATATATTATTACTATAGAATTATTAACCTTTCCTTTTTTTATAATACATATTAAACCTGGCTTGAAATCTGTTACCAAAGATGTTTCCTTCTGTGGGTGTCAGTAAACAGAGCATAATATGCTGTAATGCACACACTGATATGTAAACACTTGAGCACAATGAAGTAATATTAAAACATGGACATTGACAAAAACCAAATGAAGGCGTTATTTTTACCAAAATGCTTCATCTAGCATTTTAGAAACTCATTTTAATGCTGATTGTAGACAAATGGTAGAAATGCTGGGATGGAAATGAGCCCTTATCTCCTGTTACACTGACAGCAGACCCCAACAGGAATAATGTAAAATAGAGGATCAACATAAAGTATTGATGCTAATTTACAGTAAAAATACTGAGCTCTTAAGATGTTATTCCTGTGTTTCAGTGTTTCAGTTTTACTCTACCAACATTGTTTAAAAAGTGTTGACATAACACAAACACAAAAATACTGTGTGTAATTTTACACTGTGATTATGGTGAAATTTCAAGATATTGAACATAAATGACAAAATAATGGAAATCCAATGCTATTGAAGGCCAATACATTATGTATAATATATCAGTCCTACAAGTTACATGCATGTGATTGAAGCTTCAACACGTTATCTCTAAGCCAACTTTAGTACCAATAAAGTACATTCTAAATATTATTTTCTCTCCTTCAGCTATTTTTGCCATCTTTCACTGTAAACTATATTATGAAGCAAACATGCCAATAAAATCATCTTTAAAAGACAATAAATCATTACAAACAAGGGAACAAAGATGGGCTCCAATACAATTTCCTTGAAAACATTCAAAAATTCCCAGGGTACACTTGGACTAATGAAGCCCGTATATTTTAGTTTTTGTGACAGTGACACAAGGCTCGTATGGTTGGATTCCTGAGAGCATTTGTTGAGGGGTACAAGATGTGTGTGTGTGTGTGTGTGTGTGTGTGTGTCTGTGCGCGTGTGTGTGTGTTCACATAGTGCAACACTTGTTCTTGTGTGCGTGAGAGTCTTTGAATCGGAGTCTCTGCTTGGATCGATATTTCTCCAGGTAAGTGAGCTGTTTACTATTGATGGCTCCACGACGCTTCCTGAAACACACACAAAGACAAACAATGTATGGTGGAAATCAACAGTTCATATATATATATATATATAGTGTACATGTGTATTTATGCTTTTATTTATTCATCATTTCATGTTTGTGTTTTTGTGCAAATGTGTATGTGTTGGCTACCTGTTGTCAACCAAATTGCCCCTTGGGGACAATAAAGTCATTTCAATTCAATTCAATTCAATTCAAGTGACACAAATATCTTTCTTGATCACTGGATTGTGTTTAAAACGGTTAAGTGGTTAATCTCTTGGATATAATTAAAAAGATCCCAAGCATTTTGTTTATTTAGCACCATGAAGTTAGTTTGCCTGTGCTCTTTAATTGGCAACTGGATACATGTAACAGAATATCAGCGTGAGTTGCGTCACCACATTGTCTTCTTTGATACCACCACTGGATGGCCCCAAAGAAAGAAAATCTCAATTTCTACAAAGAGTGGGTTTAAATAGTAACATATTAGCCATCCTTCACACTCTATACTGTGTTTTGTATTCCCAAATTCCTGCTGCTTTATCAGGAGTAGAAATGGGTGTAAAAATGTACTCCTAAGCCTAAGCATTTTACATATTACACAAAGCTTTCTTGTGTATATATCATTAAAAAAGGGCATTGTAATTCAGCTGTCACAGCTGTTTATAAGGTTATTGTTATGCATTATAAAGACACCTAACTTCTAAAGTGCTCTCCCACCATGATATGTGATACTTCTGCATTATGAGGATGCAGTACATAAATTAACTTACTGTCTGATGAGTTGAATAGCATCTTCATACTTCATCCCGCTCTCTATCAGTGCCAGAGCAACCAGCACAGGAGCCCTGTGTGCATGAATAGACACACAAACACACAAAGAGTATGTTTGTTGATGTCTGAGTAAAAATAACAACAGAGCTGACTAGAATGTGTAAGTGTAGAAATATCAATGCCACAAAAACTACATCAAAAGGTATCCGCGGCATTAGTTTTATACCAGTAGCATGAAACCAGTGGAACTTATTCCATTTATTTCATTACTTTCTGTCTTTCTCTACATGTTAATGAACCCCTGCTGTGTGTATATATGTATGTGTGTGCCTGTGTCTCCCTCTCTAGCATTTAGTTCAGACTGATCGGTGTGTCTCTCACCTCCCAAGTCCAGCCACACAGTGAACAGCCACACAGCATCCTGGATCCTCCTGAAACTTCTTCTTCAGCAGACTCAACCAATCATCAACCAGTTTACTGGGGGGTGGGGCTCCATCATCAAATGGCCAATCCTGAACAAAAAGCAGAACAGCTACAGCACTTCTGACACTCAAGTTCAGTGTTAATGTTTTGTGTTTATGTTTGTTTGTGGGGAGTTTAGTGTGTGCTCACCACCACATTAATGCCATCCTTCTCCAATGGTGTTTTATCGTAGGTGATATCACAGACTCGAACAACTGTGGTGGCACCGTAGTGCTTCAGGTCCTGAAAGTAACATGATAGGAGATGATTTTCACAACTAAGCCAAAATACAAGTAGATCAATTCAGTTAAAATGTCTTTTAGCTGCTTCAGTTTATTCATAGTGTGAATGCATGTGTGTCCGTCAACACACACGTTTCTCACCTCTATGAAGGAGCTGAGTGTGCCGTCTGTTGGGTTGTGAGTGATCAGGAATCTCATGTTCTTGTGGCACAGTTCCACTGGAGCTGGACGGTTCATGGCTGCCAGTGTGACCTTTGACATCCCAGGATGACCTTTATGTGTGAGCGGTTAGTTGTTAGCCATAAGTTCAATGTCAGGGAGAAATGTACTGTACATTTTCTCATGAAACAAAAACAATTACACCACATGAAGTTGGGGAAGAGTTTTAACTAGTTACCTTATTTGCAGATCGCATGCAACTTTCCAGATTTGGCTCAACCTTGGTCCATTAAGTATCACTATCATTAACTATACTTTATATATACTTTGCACCAATTGGCCTTTTTCACGACTGACATTCTGATTATGTACGACAGTACGGAAAAGCACAGGTGTGAATAATAAAATGAATGATGGGTGAATACCATTTAGTTTAGCTGCTTTAGTTTCAAGGTCTGGCATGCTGGCTGTCACACGGTCATGACTTACTGGGACACTAGAACAGATCAGAGCCATCGTTAATGTTATAAGTAACACTTGTGCTTTTCCTGCTCCGACAAGTCAAAATATCTGCTGTGTGAGAAGGCATATTCAGCCCAACCTGCCAACACACCACAAGCATTACCTCAACTTTTTTGTAATGTTTACAAATGCAACCAAACCTGTTACAGTCTTCTCAAAACTCACCTCAAGGTCACATACTTACAGTCCCCCTTATGTAAATCTCACACAATAAAGAGCAAAAGCAAACAAGTCTAGGTGTGGGACAACAGTGTTCAAAGAGTTAGGTTAACAGACCCTAAACCCCCTCAGCTGTTTTCACTTATTAGCTTGATTAGACCTCATCTCAAAAGTCTGTTGTGGGCAGGTACAGACTGTACTTATTTGGCATTTCCTTCACTTCACAACTCTCTAACACCTCTATGTATTTGTACATTGAGTATCGACCTCACATAATTCCCATCATAACAACATAAAACAAGTTATATATATCACTAATCTTGGACTGTTGTGAATAGAACTGTAAGGGTGCATTTTATAATTAAAATGCATGAATGCTTCACGTAATGCAATATTTCTGTGTAGTCTACTGTATGAAAAACAAAAACCAACATGGTAAAATTATCACTGTCAGTGGAACACTAGAGTACCTCATGTTGACTTGCATTGCTCTTGCTCACATTTCAAATAAGATAACAGGGACGTGAGTGTATTTTAGGATGGAATTTTAATTTCAATAATCTTAATTTACGAATGCCTGACATTCCCCAAAGCATACACAGCCACTATTTTAGTTAGAGTACTGATAAGAACTATTTGGGTGCCATCAGAGTCTTCACATGCTACTAAACAACTTTTCACAGCCAATACTGCTTATTCATATCAGTATAGCATAGAGTGCAGGTGTTTTGCAGCAGCAGGGTTACACTTCCCAAGAACAGAAGATAAACATATCTGGCCACTCCTCTTCCCAGTAGCATAGCCACTGGCTGTATTACAAATACTGTTTTCTGTTTTGTTGATGTGAGCAGAGTGCTCAATGTGCTTTTGTCACTGCATTATTGTCATATTTTAAAGAAGTAAATAGCCCTCAAAATGGGGGAAGATTATTTCTTCTTATGGGACATAAACACCAGGCCATATGCAAGGCCTGGGACATAAAAACATTCTTGTAAATAAATCTCACCCTGGAAAGGCAAGTCAAAAGTAGAGGTCAGGAGTATGCAGTAAAGTGCAGGAGTTAAAAAGTGTTGGTGCATCATTATATATTTAGTGAAGATGTGTTGACCCCTCACCTTTAGCTCCAGCTGCAGCAGTTAGCTGCTGTGACTTCAACCTATATCAGGTCTATAGGTGACTCTGGACTTCCTCTCCCTTGTGGAACTTCCTATTGGGAGACTGTTTATAGCCGTTTAAGGTATTTTCCCAAATGTGAGGTCCTGTTGTCTTGTATTACCCCATCAGTTGACTGTATCCTATAGTCGAGGAGGCCACAGAGTGTCAGCTCTCTCTCTCTCTCTGTTCGTCTCTTTGTTTTTATCTCTCTCTTTGCCCAGTCCTTTTCTCTCTTTGTCTCTCAGTAGCTCTCTCTTTCCTTCTCTCTCCGGTTAGCTTTCAGTGTCGAGGCTCCACTTATTACCCCATGAGCTGGCTGGTTCAGAGGGCGAAGGCCAGTAGTCTTTCAGGTTTCAGGGCCGCAGGACTGCATGGTGCAGCTTCATCCCAGACAGGGTCTAAATGTGTTGGGCGTGGCAGTAGTCACCACTCCGCCGCACAAACTCCATCAACCAGCAATTCTAAAGTACAAAACATAGAAATTATATTAACTCTTTAAAGAATGTCATGAAAACAGAAAAACACAAAATATTAATAATTTAGCATTTGTTCCATTGTTCCAAACACTGTATCTGTAAAAGCAGCTCATATGACAAAATATACTAATGACAGCCTTCTTCAGTAATATGGAGGCCAGCAGGATGGCAGCTGACTGGCTGATGTGCATAGATAAACACACACACACACATTAAGATATGCATATGTTTATATTTTAACAGATTTTCTATTAAACACAATTAAAGCATTTGCTTCATGTATGAAATACAAAAAAAATCTAAAAAGCCATACATATAGCCTATCAATAATAAATCTGAGTGAACTTTTGGAAATTGTTCTTACGCATATTCTCAAAACCACTAATATCTGCAAGCAAGTTTTTGGTATACATATGTATACATATCCATGTACATACACACAGAGTAATCTACCAACTTAGCAACTGAACGATGTACAAAAGTGTTCCTACTTGCATGAAGTGGACTAGAAAGCTGGGAAACAGATGACAGATGCAGCATGGACTAGAAAATCTAATACATTATGTGGCTCACAAAATATGGACAATTTTATTAGATTAGCCTGCACAATATCAACAAAATTGAATTTGCTCTGAAAGGAAAAAAAGAGACAAAGTCTGAAAATTAGTGGTCTATTTAATGTACTCTAGGAGGATTCTTAAGTGCATAAGAGAATTTGAGGGCAGTTCCAGGCTTCGGGACAACAGACCACATATTGGAGTACAAACTGTAAAACTAAATAAAAAAGAAGGTTAGCTCACTCGCTGCTTCTAGAGCAGGTCCCCCTAGAGTAGGGCTGGAATGATTTATCCATTTGGCAATTTAACTGACACATATTGGTCTTGGAATAAAAGTGGTTGCTCGCCAGTATGTGTCATTGACTTTGACATGTTTCATAATCCAAAAATGTGTTCTTGATCAGATACTTTCAGTATGTCTATGAGGTGTTTAAATGCTATTTACTTTGTGATTGACAAGGATATACTTGAAATTATGGCCTATTTATGTAGCCAAGATAATATTGTGTCATGAATTTGTGTTTAACAGCTCTGATGTAAAAGACATTGGGCTGAACACCTGCTATACAATATGTTTTATTCGTTCAGTGTATTTGTTCGGTCCAAGTATCTTAGTGAAAGGACCAACACTGCTTCGAAATTAAAATGCAGTTTCTTCAAAAGTCAACAAGTTTAATACTCTACTTAATAGGGCAGCAACAATTTAAAAAAGGCATTACAAAAACATTCTTTGTAAACCTATTAAAATCTTACATAGTTACACAGAAACAACTGGGAAGTGTTTTACCAAGAACAGGAATTAAAAAACAAATGCCGATTATCTCTGTGGCTGGTAAGCCGCTCCACTCTCCTTTTCTCAGTAAACACGTTGGCAGCTAACCAATCTTGTTACAATGTCAGGTTCTGATATCCTGGAAAGCATCTGTCTGAAAATGCTAATCAGCAATGTTTCTCTATCATGTTGGACAACAGGCACAGGTAGTGAGGGAAATATAAAGGAAGGTGGTCGCAGATGTAACCCTCCTCTCACTGACATGCCAAAACATTCAGACAAACAACAAGGGAAAGTCCACAGGCACTCTGGGTAATCTATGGTCACCTCTTCACATCAGCTTTGACAACACACACATAATCACATGCCGACTTACTCACTAACTCTTCCAGAAGAGTGTAGTCTATTCCAGGTTGTTGACTATCTATAATTAGGAATTTATCCTGTGTTAACGCTAATCACGTTAGAGGTCAGTAGAGGTCTGTTATTTTCCAGCTAATTGATTCAAAGTGTAAAAAGAAAAGTGAGATTTTAGAGATAGGTCCTTTCTGATTTTACAGCCTTATATAACACAAGCAAAAGAAAATTAAAAGTGAGACAAACAGGATAAATTATTATTATTATTATATAGATTATTGTATCACACAGAGCAACATGACCGAAGGCACTGTCACAGACAAGAAGACAAAGCATGGAATTCACTGAAACTGAGAAACAAACAGGCATTAAAAAAGCTCTAAAGCATCTAAACATAAAACACATTTAAATACTAACTCTTAAGTGATGCAGTCACTGAAGGCCCTTTTAGGCATTTAACTGACATCTAAACTTCATATAAAAACAACATATGAAAGCATGAAGGAGCATGATGGGAAATGGCTAGACGGCAGCAGTAATTCCAATTAAAACTGTAAAGCCGATCTTCCCTGTTACCTTAGACCGCAGTTTGGTTTGTAAAAACAGGTGCGTCCCCAGTTGGTTCTCTGGCTGCCTGGCTCTTTCCCTGTCACAGGCTGGGTCAGGACCCAAAGAAGTTAAAAATGGATCTCAATATTATTTAGAGCTGTGTTAGGTTGCCAAACTTTTCTACAGTACCAGCAACGTAAGGCTTAAAACACAAGTAAGCATCTAGGTTAGTAGTAAAGACAACAACAAGGCAGGTTAGTACCGTAGTGACCGTAGTATAAATCCTGTTACAGCAAGGCAGCAGAGATGAATGCTGCCTTCCAGTTAACAACTATAGAGGAGGCTTTCTGTAGGTCACAAGTCACTCTGAAAAAGAACAAGTGCTAAATTCCCTAAATTGGAGTTGTTTTTGAAAGCATAACGTATAAAGCCTTCCTTCTTACCTCAGTGGACTTGGCTGGGAACTGGAAAATCCACAAACCACTGACTGGCAGTTACACCAAAGTCCTGCAGAAGCTGCAGCAGCAGCCCTGCAATAGTTTGAGTGCTGACAGACAACCAGCTGACTGCCTGTTATAGTAAACCCCTGTAGACACTGAACACCCTGCAGCTGTATTTATAGCTGTATCTATACTAGCAGCTGATTCTATGACACATCAATTTTTTGTGGAAAAACAGTCTCAGTGTTGGTGCACCCATCTCCCTGCTCTCAGCCTGTTCCACTGAAGATCTGTGATTTCCTTGATTACTATCTCTAATACCGTGGAAATGGATTTCTATGGAAATTCTCCATAATATCTACATTATCTGTCATAATAACTGAATGATCTCAAAAGTTATAAAACTTGTTGTAGCAGGGGATCACAGTGGCTGGTTGACAGTGTCAGGAACCTTTCCCAAATACTATTTAATAACAGCGACAAAAAATACTGTTGAGTGTTTGTCCTTACCTGCTATTAAATGTCATCTCCAGCCAGACTAAACATGAGTTCTTCTTTCTCACAGCAAAGTCCGCCTGCTTTTAGTCTTTTTCTGCCACTAGAAGCTGAACTGTCTGGTAGTCAAGCAGCAGTAAAATGAAATGCAACAACCTGTAGCTCTGCCCCACTATAACACTGAACTCTCCACCTCTCTCCTGTCCCCCCTGGCCTCTCAGTAACCGCTGCAGTGTACTGTACGTGCCAGACTGGAGCTGTACCTCGCTTGTAGCGGTGTGGTGTGCTGGGCTGAGGATCTGCTGTGAGCTGGTCTAATCAGGCTGAGCAGCCATCTGACCCTGACAGCCCTGTCACCGCCAGAACACTCTACAGTTAATGCTCTTAGAGAGAGAGAGGAGAAGAGCCTCGCTCCCTCCTCCTCCTCCTCTTCATCCACTCCACTCCTTTTTCCCTGCCCTCTTCCAGGGTGAAGAAGAGGTGCTGTTTCCCCCCTCATGTTCTCTCCTCACTCTTCCTATAGGCCGATGATTGCAAGGTTCAGTCAAGGAAGCTTTTTAGTCTCAGTTATAGTCAATGCACAGGAACAAAATAAACGCAGATCAGTGTTTTCAGTTCATTCTGCTTTAAAATAGAACATAACGGATTAGTGACATTGCAGGTCTAATGAGTTTTTATGCCATGACACGTCTGTCTGGACCCTCTCTTGTTTTCCTTTCCTCCCTCTCTCCCCCCTTCCCCTCCTGGAACCAACTAAAAATAGACGGTCCTTTGAGCCACCAGACAGGTTGGACAAGTCAAACCTTTGAGTCCCAGTTCATGGAATTGACTTTCTTCTTAACTGACAATAGTCCCAAGATTGCTGTTGTTGTTGTTGTTGTTGTTGTTGTTTTGCACAGCCAAACTACTGTGTAAAGCCACTGTATAGTTGCCACAGTGCATTAGCCAATGTGTTTGTCCAAAAATCAAAAGGGGGGAGAATTGTGGAAACATTTTTATGAACTAAGAACCAAGAAATCCAGCTAGCTTGTCTGCTTTATCCATTTTGTTTACAAGGTTATTGTAAGGATATGTGTGTCTGGAGAGAGTCACAAGGCACAGACTTTTTAAAGCAGAACAAGCTGGGGTCTCACCTCACTATCAATCACTTTGAGTGGACTGTCCACCCACACACAGAGCTTTAAAAAACACCCTTACTAGCTAAAATTAGCCAATGCGCTACTTGGACGGTTTCCAGTTTCTTGCATTAAAATGTGAATGTTCATGACTGCTGAAAAAAAGTGGAGATGTGTTTTTTGCATGCATTATTGTGACAAATATTCTGCAGCTGTATCATGGTCCAGTGCTATCCCACTTCTGATCTTCATTGTGGAGGCCTTTTGCCTTTTTCTTCTGAATAATAGGTGTCAATATAGCCACAACTGGTGAGCAGCAGGTTGCAAACACAAAGTGACATTTAGAAAGACCTTCAGAAAGAGGAAGAACAGGATGGAAAAGCTTTCTTTTACTTTTTTAGACTTTTCTTTGCCTTTATGTCCTTTAATGAAAACTTTGGTGGCAAACAACATCTAAACATAGAATAGAAGTGAATACTGCTCGCTCACATTCTGTACAGTAGGCCTACATGTATTTTACAACTTAAAGCACAGGTGTCATCAGGGTGTAAACAGAGCACAGAGAGAGACTGGAACATGGGGGAGAGATAAGGGAATGGCATGCAGGAAAAGGTTTGAGGGGGACATTAAGGTATGTGTCTGAGACCACAAAGTCATTTTTTTTCTCAATGTATATTTATTGTCTCAACAATTAAGACTATTAACAGTACCTGAGTTATAGAATCAGATTTATTGCGACTGACTGACTGGTTTATATTGTTTTAGTTAGTTTTAGTTCTAAATACAATCGAGAATGTCTATGAGAATTACTGTAATGTGGTAGAAAGCTTGAATATTCACCATGACACAGACATATTGTCACATATTTTAATGTTGATTTTTTGTTGTAATGTGTTGTAATGTTGTAATTTTAAAGTTTGATCACAGATTTGGCCAATCAAACCTTTATTATTCTTCCAGTCTCCGTTTTTTTCACATATCTGGAGTCTTTTGACCTTTCTTTACTGATCTTTTTTTAACTCAGTTTTAGTAGGGGTTAATTGATATGATGTATTGGATTGCTGAACACATGTTATGGTGAAGAGCGCGCTGCAAAAAGAGCTCTAGGACATACTTGTGATTTTTGTGTGTTGTTTTTGTTGTGTGTGTTTTATGTTAAGTGAGCTGCGTCAACTTCCAAATTGGTCCGAATGTTTTGTATTGAAATGTATTTCATTCAGTCACTTTTGAACCTTTAAATAAACCATACAATAATATACAGATGGGACATCCTACTATTGTCTACTTGCTGTAATTGTTCCCCATATGCACATATTCTTCCTCTCCAGACTTCCTCTATCCGATCCTCCTCAGGAACAGTCCGCTCCAGTTTGACCATCTGTTTTGATGCTACAAACAGCAGTGCACTGGCCTAAACATGGTTGCTGCAATGGTTTCTGGAAATGTGAGCTGCCACCTTGTAGGTCAACCCTCAGCTGGCAGTCTTGTGCTTTTTGAGAGGCCTAAAGGACACTTTGGGCGCCGGTTGTAGCCAGATGAAAGCAATGGGCTGACCTGCAAAGACTTCAGCACTGAATCTTTCCACCACAAGGAAATGTCAAGGAAGTGTTTGAGCCTTATTTTTATAGATAATAACATGCTGATGGTGATGATCATGGTAATTATGAATCATTATGCCCAGGCTCAGATGCCTGAGTTGGACTAAAGCAGGAACTATGAATAGAGATAATTTATGACCGTGTTTTAATATCAAACCTTTCAGTCTAACAACTACGTCTCTTCATCTTGAGTCAAGCCAAACAGATTCTTAATACTTACCTTGTCTAAGTTTGTGCATGCATGTGTAGGTATTTGTTGTATTTGTATTTTTTTAATAAAATTTTGTGTTAATTGCTGATAAAAGTAGAATCTTCACTGTCAAGATTGCTGATAGCGTGCAGCCCATCATGCAAAAATTTAGGTTCTACAATTATGGATTAATATTAGTGATACAAAAAGTCAACAATGTGCATAAATAAATAGATTCAACACTACGAGCTCTGTTGTTTTGCACATGTTTGTTAGTTAATCATTCCTTATATATTAAGTTTTATTTACCTGTTGTTGTTTAACTAGATCCTTCTTGGTAAGCTATTTCTGGCTTTATGTAATGATTGGTGCTATTTAAACCTCCTATCGCCTTTATAGAAGAGCTCTAATCTGGCTCAGTAGCCTCTTGTCTCACTCTGTTGTATTTGTGTCTGATGAATACAAACTTAGTCTCCCGTACAAAAAAAGCCTGACCTACAGTGATATAACCAGAATATATAACTAGTTACCAGTTCCTCAACCTATTTCATGGTGTTACAGGTAACTGCAGCTGCTTCTACTACTGCTACTTCTACAGTGACTTCTACTATAGCCACAGTAATGATTACAAAGCTACTGACAATACACACTACTCTGCACACTCATAAATGAGGTTAATCGTTCATAAATCCACCTCCTGACTACTGTCGTCTATGAATTTGGTTCTGTATTAATCACTCCAGATGAATGGAGCTTTAACATTTAGACTAATTTCCCATGTTGATATATACAATTACACAGTGTGTCCCCTCCCCAGGACTAGTTTGTAATTCTGTCCCCGAGGCTACACTACTCATGAAGGAGTGTGAATACTATGTAATTTCCAGAGCAATAAGAAGAAACTGGATATGAAAAGGAAGTATAGTTTCTCCCAACAGTTCTATATTTTATACTCTCTGCTGCCATTTCATGTTTCACACACAATGAGAGAGTGTTAATAACATCTAATTAGCCCCCAATGTCTGATTTCATGGTCGTGATGTAGCAGCAGGTGCATCACTATGCTGGAAAACTGAGCCTGTCATTGGCCTGGAGTGGATGGTGAAGCAGCACTCTGTGTTGGATCAAATGATATTTCAGAAGCTCTCTGTTTTAAGGCATGCATATATTTTGAAATACTTGAATGATGAAGTGTGTCAGTGTTACCTACATATCAGTTTCCAGCTCACTGCAATACACTTTGTTGCATTTGAAGTGGAGGGTTCTTTGATGTGTTGAAAAATGGTACAATGTAAAACAGTGCAAACATAACTGTATTATTTATTGCAGTGAGTCCCAAATTAAAAACAAATCCAAAGGGTCGCAAGAAGATTATCAAGAAAAAAACATTTATCCTGCATACATTTACATTTATAGATATATCAAAGGCTAATTGGATAGTTTTACCTTTTTATGCATCTAAATTGAAATGAAACAAGGATCTGATTGATCTGGGTATAACCTATAAACACATGGAGCTATAGAGAAAAATTCTACCGCAAAACAGTGTAATTAAATCTCTTTTACAGCCAGGTCATGGCAATACCACTGCATACTGTATCCTTATAGCTGGTCATACTATACAAGGAATTATGGAAAGGGCCTTTTCGCACATAAACACGCACACACCCTCAGAAACATGCGTAAAGGAGAACTCACACAAATGCACGTATACATATTCACAGAACGAGGTTCAGAAACAAATCTGACACATACATACTAACACACACACACACACACACACATACAAATAACAACAAATACACACACACACACACACACACACACACACACACACAAACACACACACACATTACACACAGTCAAGCATGTGGCAAGCGGCAGCAGCTGCTGCGTGTATAATTAGAATGTTTTGAAAGCTGAGAGTCAGACGGCAGGACTTTCACCTGCAGCCTGACAAGTTTCCATGACAACCAGCCATCAGCATGACAATACAACTTTATTATGTCAAGTACATTATATATGTATATGCCAACTCTGTGCCATTAAGTAAAGAAAGTAAAAGAATGAAGAGAGAAAGTACAGAAAGGCAGCCTGTTCTTAGTGAATGAGATTCTTTCTCACCCACAACACAGAATGTCCATAACATGTGCAGCAGGTTATACAGGAGGTAACAGTATCAATACTTGTAACTCAATGATCACTCCACCACATGCTGAGATATCTGGCTTTCAAAGCTTTCCATCTCACCGTCCATCCCGTCTGTTTTGGAACAGACACACCCACACATGGGATTTCAAGACAAAAAAAAAGCTCCAAATGATTTCCTTAAATATCCTGCTGAATACATTTAATGCAGAATTCTATTTCATATTCAAGCTATGGGAAAGTACAAAGCAAAATATGAATTAAACTCAGATTATATTTGCCAAATAATCTGCTTAGTTTAGTATGTTGTAACAGTTTGTGTGCAGAAATAAAAAGCATCAACAAACACAAACATTCTATTATTAAGCAACAGGAATTTCAAGAACAAGTTCTGTGAAGTGAAAAACAAAGCAGTGACATCCTGACTCTCTTCATGCTGCCAGTTGACGGTCTGCATTCAGAAAGTTGACATGAAACTCCATCTAGTGGACTCTTGATGCTACAAGCTTGGGTTGCGCTGGAATAGGATTATCTTGTCCAAATTAAACAAAAGGTTTGTCTTGGATTTATTTAGTGGTTGGAAGCAGCAGGACAGACAGAAAATGTATATAGCAACTGTTTAGATGAATTGCAGCTTCAAAAGATAAATTGTAAATATGGTAAATAATAGACCTAGATTTGTAAAAATACTTTCAGCACCAATTTGACCGACCAATCCTGCCTGTACTTTGCATAAATAATGGTAATGTCATATTTGATACAGCAGAGGTTTATGGGTGATATCTGATGTAGGCTTAATCATCCTATGTGACAACAACAATGGAAGATGTAGGTTTTGCATTTACGTGAAATCAGGCAATATGACAAAGTCACAATAGGTCTTTTTCAAGCTTCAAAAGCACAGGTCAGTTTCACTTCAGTTTCAGGGTCCTGGTACAGTACTGTGAATGTTGACTCACTGTCACATTGTCACGACTTACTGGGACACTTGAATAGAACTGAGCCACTGCTAATGTCATTAGTGACACCTGTGCTTTTGGTACTGTGACAAGCTTTCTGACTTTATTCCTTAAGCCTTTTCCACATCATTCATAGGCTCACATGACTCAAATTTGTAACATTTTTCATTTTTTAAATCAAATTACCATCTTGCAGTAGCCCTAAATTCTTAATTTTAAAACAATCTTTAACAGAGCTTAACTCTGTTCCCATTTGAGTAAGGTCAGTGTGCATGGTTAAATTCAATTCAATTCAATTCAATTTTATTTGTATAGTGGCAATTCATAACAGAAGTTATCTCAGGACACTTTTCAAATGGAGCCGGTCTAGACCGAACTCCTTATTAACATTATTTACAGAGACCCAACAGTACCACAATGAGCAAGCACTTGGCGATGGGGGCAAGGAAAAACTGCCTTTTTAAAAGGCAGAAACCTAGGACAGACCCTTCAGCTCTAGGTTGGTGGTCGTCTGCCTCGACCAGTTGGGATGAGAGAGAGAGAGAGAGAGAGAGAGAGAGAGAGAGAGAGAGAGAGAGACAGACAGACAGAGGTGCACAGCAACAACAGTAGCAACAACTACACCAATAGTAGTGACTGATGATTATGAACATGAAGAAGATGATGGCGACATCAACAACGATGGGGGACAATGAGCAGCGACCACAGCAACAATAGTAACAATAATAGTAATAATAATAACAACAACAATATCAGCAATATTAGCAATGGCAGTCAAGCAGGACCATGGCAGGAGGCTCCACCAGGATCCATGAAAACCTGCGAGACGAGAAAGTACAAGAACTCCAGGGAAGAAGTGAAGTTAGTAACATGCATTAATGGGACATGAATGAGTGCAGAAAGAGAGAGGATGAGAGGAGCTCAGTGCATCATGGGAAATCCCCCCGATAGTCTAGGCCTATAGCAGCATAACTAAGGGATGGTTCAGGACTCACTTGAGCCAACCCTAACTATAAGCTTTATCAAAGAGTAATGTCTTAAGCCTACTCTTGAATATTGAGAGGGTGTCTGCCTCCCGAACCACAACTGGAAGCTGGTTCCACGGGAGAGGAGCTTGGTAACTGAAGGCTCTGGCTCCTGTTCTACTTTTAGAGACTGTAGGAACCACAAGTAGCCCAGCATTCAGAGAACGTAGTGTTCTAGAGGGGTAATAGGGTACTTGAGGTCTTTAAGATATGAAGGGGCCTGACCATGAAGAGCTTTGTAGTTGAGGAGGAGGATTTTAAATTCTATTCTAAATTTTACAGGGAGCCAGTGCAGAGAAGCTAGTACAGGAGAGATGTGATCTCTTTTCCTAGTTCCTGTCAGTACTCGTGCTGCAGCGTTCTGAATTAATTGGAGCGTCTTAATGGACTCATTGGGGCAACCTGATAATAAGGAATTGCAGTAATCCAGCCTAGAAGTAAGAAATGCATGCATTCATTTTTCTGCATCTGTCTGTGATAGGATGTGTCTAATTTTTAAATGACATGTCCTGATCAAAGATAACTCCAAGATTCCTGACAGTGGTGCTAGAGGCTAAGGTAATGCCATCTAGAGTAACTATATCTTTAGACAGTGAGTCAGTGGGCCAAGTACAAGAATTTCGTTTTTTTCCTGAGTTTAACATCAGAAAATTGCAGCTCATCCAGGACTTTATGTCCTTAAGACATGTTTGTAATTTAGATAATTGATTAATTTTATCGGGCTTGATCGATAGATATAACTGTGTATCATGTGCATTGCAAAAAAAGTGAATGGAGTGATTCCTAATAATGTTGCCAAAGGGAAGCATATATAAAGTGAATAGTATTGGTCCAAGTACAGAACCTTGTGGAACTCCATGATTAACTGAAGTATTTATGGAAGATTCATCGTTAACGTGTACAAACTGAGAACGATCTGATAAGTATGACCTAAACCAGCTTAGTGCGGTTCCTTTAATGCCAATTTGATGCTCAAGTCTCTGTAAAAGAATATTATGGTCAATGGTGTCAAATGCAGCACTAAGATCTAATAGTACAAGCACAGAGACAAGTCCATTGTTGGAAGCAATCAAAAGGTCATTATTAACTTTAAGCAGAGCTAATGAGCTTAAATGTCTCTTGTATAGTTCAATCTGTTAGTTTCATGTACAACTGATTTTAATTTGGGTGGCAGCGCGTCTTTAGTTAAACAGCAAGTGTGATCTTAAGTGAATTGGCAGAAATTCCAGCTGCAGACATACCCGACACGGGTTGAAAAATTTAAAAGTATTTGTTTGAGTAAATTCACTCTACTTTTTAAACACATGGTAGAACAAAATATGAGCAAGAAATAGTCACGTTGCTGTTGTTGGCATTGTCAGATCTCTTTGTACAATAGGGGACACATCCATCACATAACACATGTCCTAAAATAGGCCAGTGGTCAGTGGTGAAATAGGCTAGCAGGTCAAAGCTTAGTCAGGGTTAGTATGATGCTAAAATGGCTTCAGACTGACGTGAGGCTGTGTAAGACCCATCTGCTGCGCTCTGCTCTTCAGCCTCCACTAAATGGATTAAACCTGCTGCACACACAGGTCTCATCTAGCTGTGTGTGTGTGTGTGTGTGTGTGTGTGTGTGTGTGTGTGTGTGTGTGTGTGTGTGTGTGTGTGTGTGTGCTTGGCAGTGGTGGCATTACATCTTATATAAAGGTGGTCACGGCCCAGTCTGCTGTGTTTCCGCTCAGCCAGCTGCACCTGTCTGCAGTGTAATCTACCTGTCTATAATTATACTATATCAATATATTGCATGCTTTAATCTATCAACCTATAGGGAATGTCATGTTATTGTATATGTACTGTAAGTCTACTGCATGCTTTTAGTTCACAATGTTAATGATTCAGTGTTTTCCTTGGGCTACATGATTGAGCAGAGAGCTCTCATTCATTCACCCATTTTGATTTTCTGCACTTACTCCATAAACCTTCAACCTTCTGCCTTCATGAGGGAAACACCATTTAATTTAAGAGCAATTAAATTACCCTGGACAAAGCAATTTGTAGGTGTGTCTACTCTTCCTCACCTACTTTTAAAAGCATTACAGTATTGAAATACATCTGTAATAGATGAAGTAATAAATATTTAAAAAACACTTAACATCTGGCTTTTCACACCTGGTAATTCAAAACAAATAGCTGCAAGTCAAGACTTCAGTTTTTTTTACAAAGAAGGGATTGCCACTAAAGTGTATTACAGTGCAACTAGTCTATCCTTCATCAATTGCTTTGTATCTGAAAATATGTTTATTCTTCATCATATAGCTTTTGAAGAATTGCCTTACTCTGCCCATTAAAGTGATAATTTTTCTCATTATTGTTTTTATTATTTAAAACCATGAAACATAAAAATACAAAACTATTCACGAATAAGTTTTTAGTTATCAGGTATTATGGCATTTAATGCTATACTCTGACAATTATTACCTTTGAAGAATCTCATCTGTTTTCATTTCATAGACTAGTTGGGAAGTTGTAAAATGTATCTGTACTGGTATTACCTTTCTGAAGCACTGGTCCATCTTTAAAAAGTTTTTTTTTTTTTATATACCTTTTTAAATATATATGAGTATATTTTATATATATGCTGTATACGAGCTAAATGGTATAGAGACAGTTCGGAGTGGCAATCCAAATTAAGTCAATGTACTGTACTAAGTTAATGCAAGAGGGTCAAGGTTACTGAATGTTGTGCAGTGAGGAACAGATGGCACACTGAGATTAGACAGCTGACCTGGTCATGGCTTGGCTCAAGGTGTTGTGATTCTCTTGACACATCACAGCAAAATAATAACAAGCTTTTTGTCTGTGTTTTCAATGTAGTTCCCACCTATCTTGCTTATTACAGATCAAAGTTATGATTGGTTTCAATACATTTCAGTTAAGACATAATGAGACATAAGAATACACAATTCAAAGTGGATTTTAAGAAAGAAGTTGAAAGAAGTGACTTGAAACAAATGTAATAATGATAATTCAAGTAATCCAGAAGGGAATGATGGAATTATCCGCAATTACAGCCAGTTATTTTGCATATTTTAAGTATCTTAAGATGCATGGAAACTTCAGAGTAAAGTTGGGCTTTTGCCATGTACTGATTAGTTTCCTGTAGATATCCAGTGGTGTCTCTGTGGGAATGCAGCAGCCTGAGGTCAGATTAAAACAGGAAGCCAGTTGGCCACGTGTGGGCCAGGTTGGAGTTAGAGCTTAGAGACAGATCAATGTTGGAGGATATATAAACCAGTTCAAACAAGAAGTCTGTCACACACAAGTTGCTGTTGCTCTCAGGTCGTTTCTTACTTCAGGAACTGTCCAGGAATACAAACTCATTTGCTCGGGAAATCAAGAGGAAGTTAAGAGTCGAAGATCTACACACCGAACGGGACGTCTGCTCTCCATCTACTGCACATCTCCTTTATCTCTGTTGTGGTCTATTCTGCATCAGCAGCCATGGTTCTGGAGGAGAACGAGGGCGACTCAGTCTTTGAGCCCCAAATCACTGTGAGTAGAAAATTCAGCTAAAATGTTATTTTTTTTTAAATCATTTCAATCATCATGTTTGAATCAATCAATCAGCAATGTATTGATCTTCTGAATGTGTGTTTGTTTTAGGAGGAGCATGTAGAGACTCCGTATGGGAATGTCCACTGCATCATGTCAGGAACTGCAAAGGCAAACCGCCCAGTCATCCTGACATTTCATGATGTTGGACTGAACCGTAAGTACCAACTCTTATGCAACTGGGTAAAAAATGTAAACATAAATAAAATACTATATGCATAATAAAAAGGATAAATTGTATATTAACATTAATCTCCAATTTATGTACATTTTAATCCAAACTTCTTGTAAATACTTTCTAAATTCTGTCTATTCCCATGACTTCACTTCAATGGAACTGATTAATTTTTTGTCTTTTCTTCTTATAGACAAGTCCTGTTTTGAATCTCTGTTCAACCACGAGGACATGCAGGAAATCGTCAGACATTTGCCTATTTGTCACGTTGAAGCACCAGGACAACACGAGGCAGCCAAAACTCTACCTTCTGCGTCAGTACACTGTCTTCTTCAGTCTCTTTTTCTACAGTGGTCTGACTTTCATTTTGTCTCATTTTTATAAATGAGTGGAGCCCACAGCTGCTCATGGTTATGTTAACTTTTGACCCCTCAGATACGCCTACCCTTCCATGGACCAACTCTCTGAAGCTCTGCCCGCTGTCCTCAAACACTTTGGGTAAGACAGAGTTAATATGATGCTTCACACGTTTACTCACACAGCATATTAGGATTCATCTCTGTTTTGACCTTCTTCTCCTTGACTGTGTGCTTTGCAGGCTGCGGAGTGTGATTGGACTGGGAGTTGGAGCAGGTGCCTACATCCTGGCTAAATTTGCTGTGAGTTCAAATCTCTTCTCTAAATCCCATTTGAACTTAAGACAGAGAGAGAACATAATTTGACACCTATTTTCCAAAATAAAAAATAAAAAAATAAGTCTTTTTGGCACATATTTTCACTTGGTTGTAGTTCACATATAAGAACTGCCTAAAAGCATGTTAAGAAGTGTAGATTAGTTGTTGAAGTCATATCACTAACCACTCTTCTGTGTGTGTGTGTGTGTGTGTGTGTGTGTGTGTGTGTGTGTGTGTGTGTGTGTGTGTGTGTGTGTGTGTGTGTGTGTAGCTGAATCACCCTGACATGGTGGATGGATTGGTTTTGATCAACATCAACCCCAGCGCTGAAGGACTAATGGATAGTGTTGCAAACAAGGTCAGCAGTGTTTGTGTTGTGTGTGTGAGTGTGTGTGTGTGTGTGTGTTGACTACCCACCCTGTAGGCTGAAAAAGATCAACATCTAATATATTGTGTTCATTTCAATCTATACAACCACCTGTATTGACAGATATTGATATAGTAGCTGTCCCACTACTAGAGTAGAGTTTGACCTTGTGATTGATACTCCATTTGACTATAATTTGAGACCTGTAAATAGATTATTGACAATCTGAATGTAGCTGAATGTAATTGTGTGTGTGTTTTGTGTGTTATAGCTCACTGAATGGACTCACACTCTCCCGGACACTGTCATCGCACACTTGTTTGGAAAGGTAAGCTAACAGGTTCAGTGATTCTCTTCAGTTATCATGACAACTAAAACATGGAAAACATGCATCTTAAAACATCCATTACATACAAGAATCTCTGTCTTACTTTTAAACTGATTTTTCAGGATGAGATTGAGAACAACCATGACCTCATAGCTACTTATCGTCACCACATCACAACAACGATGAACCAGTCCAACGTGAGTCAGTTCTTCCGCTCCTATAACAGCCGCAACGCTCTGGATGTGGAGAGGCCTATTCCTGGAGGGAACGTCAATGTCAGGACCCTCAAGTTAGTACAACCATTGACCTTTAAAGAGCTAGTGTGGCAGGGTCTTGAAAATGAATAATAGAATAGTGTTTGTCACAGTTTATAATGGTCATTGGTCACGGTAAAAAGTAGAAATTGTACTGTTCTGCCAAAGTTTAACGTAGTTGAACACAGTTGAACTTACTCCACACTATGAGGTGATGACATATAAGATCTATCTGAGTTAACACAATAATCCCCAATAATTGGAGCCTCTGACCTTAAGCTGCTCTCTTCTCAATCCAGGACCAATGTGTCCGCATCATTGCAGCATTGCATCATTGCTGCCAGCTTTGTAAATCCTATCCTTTGCATCTTACTTTATCCGCCTATTTCACCTGCCTGCCTGTCTATTGGTTTACAGGTGCTCCGCTTTGCTGGTTGTAGGAGATAATTCTCCAGCTGTGGAGGCCGTGGTCGACTGCAACTCTAAACTCAACCCTACCAAGACCACACTGCTCAAGGTAACTGACTAAACAATTAACTAAACAACCAAATAATGATTAAAATACACTTATTTCCATATAAGAATTGGTGTGATTCTAGTGTGACAGCCTGAAGCCTGCACCTGACCTTTGTACTGTGCTCTTCTAGATGGCAGACTGTGGAGGACTTCCTCAGGTGGATCAGGTAAGCTGTGAATTTATCAGCTGCTCTGCTGACAGTACTGCAGAATCTGCAGTCATTTGGTTGGAAATGTATCTAATGCTTTTCATCTATCTCTCTTCACAGCCAGCCAAAGTGATTGAAGCCTTAAAATATTTCATCCAGGGCATGGGATACTGTAAGTCTCTATTAGTATTTGCCTTAAATGTCTAAGTCTCTGCAGGTGCCACTCTTTTGTCATAGCAGATACTCACAATCACTACTCAGTTCTTTATTTCTAACAAACTACTGTTAAACATCACTTCTTGTAAATAAGAGGATTATTCTATTTCAACTTTTTTGTTTTTGTTAGTTAGTAGATTTACTGTGGGTTGAAATAAGAATTGTATGAATATAAATCACCATAAAATACTCAATTAATAAAAACCATTAAGGGCTCTCCTCTTTCTCCAGTGTCTAGCGCCGGCATGACCAGACTTCGGTCACGGACGGCCTCCAGCTCCAGCATCACGTCCATGGAGGGCTCCCGGAGCCGCTCTCACACCAACGAGTTGCAGCGTGACCGAACACACTCTCGCGGCGCTGAGGACAAGCGTGGGCGCTCACACACTGATACGTCCATGGATAGTATTTCTCACAGCAGTGTGACCCAGATCATCTCAAAGTCCACTGAAGTGACATGCTAGAGTGCACTCTGCATTAAATCCCAAGCACTTTATATCCAATCATACCTCATTATACTTACCCATAAAAGCCTCCCGCCTTTTTAACTTCATCTTTCCACCCTTCAGTCTGTCATGCCCTTTCATCTGCACTATCTCTAGCCGAAAGGTCACAGGTCATAGCTCCATGTGACTTATATATATATTCTTCTGTATTCTCTCTGACTCTACCTATTCCAGTAATTTAACCAACCCTCTCCACATCTCTTCCTTGTCAACAGCCTCCTCCTGTCTGTATCCTGCCCTGAAATGTTTCTACCTCTGTATCCTTCTTTGTATGTTTTTTTCCTCCCCCTCCATGTCCTTGTCTACTTTCCTTTTTTCTTTTCCTTCTCTCCCCTCTGACAGTGATGTTGTACCAGAGATTTTGTTGTGGGTTTCCTCATGCTCAGATATGTATCACCATATATGCTACATGAAGAAATCATGAAAGTTGAAACATGTACTTTGAGCTATCACGTGTTTGTATCAAACCCAGATGTGTATTCATGTATAGAGAATGTATTTGGATGTGAATGCTACATTGTGGGTATTATTTAACTTTCAAATCCCATTAAAGCTTTTCAAAATATTCAAAATATTCAACTTTCTTTGGAAATCTTTCAAACCGTGTCATCTTCAACATCTCATTCATACATTGACATAGAAACTCTATTTCATATCTTTCATACTTTTTACACAATTACAGATCAAAATTTGTGCAATTTTCAGTACTTCGGAGATTTTTGCATTGGTGTTTATGGAGGGGAGGGGGTGACATAACAGTTAGAGGAGCTGTTAAACATTTCTATTGAACTTGCTCTCATCCCTACAATTTCTACTCCACATAGCCTACATAATTTACACATCAAAATGCAGGAAAATGTGTCCCAGTCGCAACACGTAACTACACAACCAAACAGACATTTTGGCTCCAGAAGCCTCCAAGCTACAGGAGCAGCAGCCAACTGCAGCGCAGACTCCCATATTAACTGATTTCAGGAGGGAAGCAGAAACAGACATTTTTCTTACTGGCTCATGTGATCATATTTTTGCCACTACACACACAAATTTCATACGTGTGTTCAGCCATGTCTCCTATTTCTTAAAACATCGACACCAATGCAAATAAGAAACAGCTCACATTTATATGGTGCTTTTATGAACAAACAGAGGAGACAAGCACTCTGAAATATGATGAGACATTTAACCAATTATTCAATTAACACTGCGTTTGTTAAATCACAAAGTAGCACATACATAAAGGGGTGTAAAATATCCTCAAGCATTGATTAACCAATAATACAGGCGGTGGGGCAACGCCCAAATCAAATTCTGTTTAGGCCCCCATAAAGGCCTGGGCTCCCTGTTTGGGGCTCCGGACAATTGGAGAGTGGAAAACTGAACCAGTGGAGCATTGAGAGAAGAAGAAGCAGAAAAGCAACCAAGAGGAGAAACGTCTCTTAAGAGACCAATAACCACAAGAGAACACCTGCTGACTGGGCAGCTTCACCAAAGACAAATAAATGTGTTTCATTCATGAATGAACCTCCCTAAAAACTTTGAAAACTTCAAACTTAACATAACTTATTGAATTTAAAGCAGCAGAATATTTAAAGGCCTGTTTGAAAAACAGAGATTAGTTGACACTCGTGTTCTCGATGTAAACTTGTTATTAGTTAATTAACTGGTTTTAATGTATTAAAAGTAGCGGGAAATGTGTGGAATATATGAACAAGGGTGTAGTGATTTGGTTTGAAGGCATCAATTTTGTAGAAATTGGCCTAGAAATTTTTAGAAACAAGATGGCGACTGGACCATTTTTCCTAAAATGTATTAAAATCAATATTTTTGGTAACCATGGAGACGATGGAACTGTTGGAGATCTTTCTTGAAACCCATTATCAAATTGAAGTGTCTGACTGCTGTGTTTAATCATCATTGTCATTAAATGCTATGACTTGATATGTTCTTATTTATTTGTTTATTTAACACTGAGATATGTTTATTGTTCCAAGTGAATCACTTGTATTTCTGATTTTATTTTCTGTTCTGTATTTCATTTAATCTGAAAAGCTTGAAAAGTGCCTCTATAAATACAATTATTATTATGAGCTGACACATATCTGCGTTAAAAATCTTTTTCTTATCTGCTTCAAATGGTTGACATAGATTTTTAGTGTAACCCTCCTATCTTTGTCACATGGTTTGTATTATTACTGTTATTGTAATAATATATAATATGCTGCCATTCACATCATGTGGGGAATAGGTAAGTACAAGATTGTGGCTTTGAAGGAAAGTGAGCTACAGTAGTCCATTATATAAAGACACAGGAAGTCAGGTATGCTACTTTATGTACGATACACCTGTTTCACACCATACACCCTCACTCTTTTGTAGTTTCATTTTTCTTCTTTTTATTTGCTGGCATGAAGATGACTTTAGGAGAACAGGTATGGCAATCATTCTTAACTTCATCAAAAGAGTCTTGCAGGTGTTATTATAAGTGATTTGTTGATTCTTTATCTTACTCACAATGTTTTTACTCAGGTGGACTGGCAGAGGTATTCTCATAATTAGTAATAACATGAACAAAACTCTCATGCAAATCTTAATTTGTCTTATGTAATTATTCAAAGATGATTTATCTCTCTTACTTTAATGTTTTTTCCACAGGGGCAAGCGGCTATAGCAGATAACAGAGATAGTTCATGACAACATTACTATCACTTTAAATGAATATTTCATATTGTATTTTTATGTTCCTTTTATGTCCCCTCAGCTGCTAACACATGGTAACTGTTGGGGATCTTGGTGCAACACTGGGCCCCACAGATGCATCGTGCAGGCCCACCGGAGAGAGAAGACAACATAGAAGACTGAGACTCAACATTCCTGCAGTAAATTTCAAGACTTTCCATGATGACGAAGAAGAAATGCTCCCTCAAGACCAGATCAGACGAGAGATGGGAGATGGAGAGCACGGTATTTTAGTCAACAAAGTAAGTAAAGCATTTTATTAAGACTGAAAATGTAGCTGTAGTGATATAAAGTTGTTACATACCGTATGTTGATGATATTTGATAATATAATATAAAATATTCATGACTTGTTGTTTATGTCAGGGAGGACTCCTCTGCCTGCTCCTTGGGCACCTGAGAGTGGATGTCAACCAGCACCACAGCAGTCCACTGAACACACTCCTGCAATAAACCTGCCTACAGACCCCAGCCCCAGCCAAGAGGATGAAGGGTATCCTAAACTCACCTGTGCAGATGAAGCTGCCACTACGTGAAACTAAATGATGCTATAATACGGATCATGATATTAACTTTGTCTATACACTGTATATATGAGTGATTATTATTGTTTATAGGCACTATTTTATATCATTATTTTGCCCACAATTGTTTCCACATACTTTATGGCTGTGCAGCCTTCCTACATTCAGTATTGGTCCTTTTTTACAACTTGGTTTTGTGTTGAATTCAATAAATGGACTCTATGTAACATGAGCCACTGTTCTGTGAGATGCTTTACCCTCAGTGATGCTGGATTAACATTAACATTTTCTTAAATACTGAATCCATTGCCAGGTGTCACAATATTTCTTTTGGCTAAAATGATTCTAAACAGCTTCTCCACTAGGAGCCTGGATAACATTGTAAAACCCAGAACAGATCTTTCTTTCTCTGACATCCGTCCATGTTCCAGATTTGAGCAGCTCCTATTTTCCTTTCCCTATTTATTTATTTTTCTAACATGGCTAAAATTTGGGAGGGTCAGATTGAAATGTATGAAAAAGGGAACAACTGTTTTTATGCAACCTTTAAGAATCCAAGAAAACTTTAATCTGTTGTAAAAGTGCATCCATTTCAAATTCAGGCTGCAACAGCACAAAACAGGGGAAAGATCCCAGGCTGATTTGTTTTCTGAAATGTGCTGTTCATTCTAATAACATCTCACATTTTTTCCGTTATTATTTTGTTGTTACCTTTACTCCTTCAATACGCTCCCTACCTTCAGTTGCGGAAGCTACCTTGCAAGCATAGCTTTGCAAACGCAACCAATTACGTCACACTGGAAGAAGTTGAACTGTAGCAAAGCTAGGGAGAAATGTAGTTTGGTAAACTGAACTTATTTAGAAAAAGTAGTTCAAACTACTCAGTAAAGAAATTATAAAATTGACGCTGTACATACTTAAAAATATCATACAAAGAAATGACGTATTAGCACATTCAAATTAGAAATTTGGATTCAAAACATTAAAAACTAAACAATAGCCAAATACTTTTCAGAGGTGAGCTTCCTGGAAGACCTAAAGGCTTTTCACAAGGACAAAATTGCAAGGAATATTTTTTATATATTGATAAATTACTTCAAGTGATGTAATTTGAGTCTAAAGACTACAAGTTTGAAATTAAAAGAAAAAAAGGTGTGGAGTTAGAGGGAAGTGTGCTTTCTTTAATTATGTTCTGATGACATTATAGGCTGTAAAGTAAGTAAACATTTAATCAGGGACATTGTTCTGTGTTAAGACAAATCATAGTGTACCTCTCCAATCTTTCCAGTAGATGGAGCTCTATAACCTTTTCTCTTCCGCTGTGAATCAGCAGCCGTCATACACCACTGGGTCAGGTTATGTAGCCAAATAATATTCAAAGCACCCCTGCACTCAATCCAAACGACTTGTATTTACAGAATGTTTTGACAACTAAATTCAAATCACATAGAAATCCAAATCATGTACAGCATCTGCTCGGTTTTTAATATCACTTATCTAGAAAACCATTTTGGATCTTTTTAATAACTCTTAGCCTTGTCCTTTCCCAGAGGCCCGGATTAAAGAGCATTGTGTAATAGTTTGTTTTAAGTCCCACTTTTTTCCATCCCTAGCACTCTCATCCTACCATGAGAGATTCATTCATTTTTTGTTTGTTTGCTTATTGTGCTCCTGTTCATGCTATTTAACAATTTTTCATTGTTTAAAACACTTCCAATTTTTTGCTAAATGTGTGAAAATAACAGGTCATGGGAGAGTTAAACAAGAAATTTGCAAATAAAGGGGGGTGTTGGGCAAACATCCACAACAGAAATCATTCCAGTGGGGTTTTACTGCATACAGTACCGAGTATAAGGAGGCCTGTGAGCTGCATTTGTCTCAAGGTTGATTTACCCTTTCCTTTCTCTCTTATACTGTTTAATTACAAAGGACAGATTAATTTTACACAAAACATAATAGGTTTTTTGGCAATAGCTGCCGAGCTGTGACTGCCAAGTGTGCAAATATGGGGTGATGGCCCAGCGGATATACCCCACATAACAGATAACTATTACGTCATGTGTTTTAATCCATCTAAGTGTCACCCTCCCTCGCGGTACAATTTGCACAGTAAAAATAATCTTTGAATTGAGTGTGTGTATGGATATTAGCCGCATGCATGCATGAATGTACTGTATGTGTAGGTGGGGCTGTGTGTGTAGGCCCGTCAGTAGATGGATTGTTTTGGGCTTTGACTGTGAGACAGTGGAGACACACAGATCCAAGAGAGCGTAATGGCAGTCAGCATCAAAGTCACAATAATTTTGTTTGTGTGT